TTTGAAGGTATTTGATATTGTCAGCCTTTTGCTCCGGCAACACTCCAGCAATAATATTCTCTGGACTAATGCCCACCATGGCCCCAACGGCTCGGGCAGTGGTGACATTATCGCCAGATATCATCCAAACATGCACTCCTTGGCTGCGAAGAGTTTCAACCACGTGCCGGGACTCTGGCCGCAGGGGATCTGAAGTTGCAAAAATAGCAAGTACGTTCCATGGAGACTTCGCCGTGGATGCTGTGGGCCTTGCTGCCACGAGGACGATGGACTTCGCTTGGCCCTTCCATAGATCTAGAGCCGCGGATGTATCTTCATCCAGGGTGATGTCGTGATCAGTCAAGAGAGCCTCATTTCCCGCCAGTACTTGGACCTGGTTTGGCAACGTCCCAACGCTAAAGGTGCCTGTCATACCCTTTCCGGCTATCTCTTCTATGTGGCCGGCTCTGGCAACGGTCGTTTCCCTAGATTGGCAGAAGTCGACGATGGCTTTGCCGATGGGATGACTGCTGTTCTCTTCAAGTTCTTTCAAAACACTCAGGATCGTAGTCTCGCTCCAGGAATCATCATTCCGCGGAAGAAATTGATGATCCGTGACCTTGGGCTCCCCTCCTTGCGTCAGGGTTCCCGTCTTATCAAAGACAACGATGTCCAGTTTGCTCGCTTCCTGGAAAGCCTCGCCTCCGCCTTTCACCAGAATGCCATACTTGGCTGCGAGGCCGCCGCCGACGAACAGCGCCGTTGGGGCCGCGAGGCCTATGCCGCACGGACACGCAATAATGAAGACGGCAATAGCAAACTGCAGAGACCAAAACGGCCAGCTGCCAATCTCAACATCTAGATATTCTTTTGGGAGGCTGCCGGAAAGACCAAGGCTGAGCCAGATCAACCAGGTTGAGATGGCGATTAGGGTCACGACTGGGACGAAATAGCTGGTTAGGGTGTCAGCCAGCCTTTCGATAGGGGCGCGTTTCGCTTGTCCCTCGCGAACCACTTTGATGATTTGGTCAAGCATGGATTCTCCAGAAGTGCTAGTGATACGAATCGTGACAGGCCCTCCTTTGTTCACAGTTCCAGAGAATAGTGCATCACCAGCCGCCTTTCTGACAACTTTTGATTCCCCGGTAAGACTTGACTCATCGAATTCGCCCACTTCATCAAGCAGCACACCGTCCCAAGGCGGAGATGCGCCATGGACGACCCTGACGAGATCACCTGTGTCAATAACATCGGCACTAACACTCCGAGTCTGGCTGGCGCCTTTTGTGCCATCGTCTGGCAGCACCAGCAAAGCCTCATTTGGCCGAAGTTTGCTTAGTGTTGTCACCGCTTCCCCCGTCTTCGCTTTCGAATACGCTTCAATGAGGCGGCCAATGAGCAAGAACATGGTCAGGAAGACAACAGAGTCGAAGTAAGTCGCATTTCCTTTCATATTCGTCGCGTTTGGCGCGGTAGAGGCGATGATGATCTCAACGACGGATGAAATATAGGCAATGGTAGTGCCAAAAGACATCAGCATGTCCATGCTTCCGAAACGGTAAAAGCGACGCAGGACTGGCACCGTACTGCCAGGCCTCCAAAGGGAGTGTAGTTCCTTGATGGCGCGGCGGTGGAAAACATCAGCAGCAAAGAAATAAACCGGTGTCGCCATGATAAATGCGGCCCATTCAGCGCGGGTGACTCCACGGAGTGGTTCCATGAGGTACATGCGGCTCGGGTTGGTTGAAGGGACCAAGGTCATAAAGACGATGGCTACTATAAATGTAGGGATCGCAACAACCAACGAAAGCAGGACCCGATAGAATATTCGCTGCCGTATACGGCGGTGCATCTGTGCTGCACGCTCCTCAATCGTCGGAGGGTGATATATGGTAGCGCTGAAGGCCGCGTCAGCGGTCGAAATTGCTGCAAGGATGGCTCGAATGGTAAAACCAGGCGCCTCGGGGACGTACGAGATGGTTAGTAGCGAGCTGTGCAAGGTAGCCGGGGTCTCGACAATTATTCGGTCACCGAATTGATTCATTGCTTCGGTGACGCGTGCCGGACAATGCTGGCAGTACATGCCGTCGATACGGATCGACACCGCTCTCCGCGAATTTTGAGCCTCATCTTTCGTAGCATCCGATATGTCGTCCAGCTTAGCTTTGTAACCCAATTCCTCGATAGCGGCGCGGATGCGAAGTATGTTGTCTTTGTCCTCAAATACAATGGTGCAGCTGCTGGTGATGAGGTTGACGTCAACTGTCTTTGTGAAAGGAAGATTCTTAAGTGACGAGGTAATTGAGCCGACACAAGAGCTGCAGGTCATGCCTTCAATGGACAGTGACGCTTTCCATAACTTTGACGTCGGCAATTTCGAGGTTGGGAGCACTGGCAGCTTTTCCACCTGTTCCAAGCTTGCGTCATAGCCCAGACTGGTGATAGCCCTGATCAGGTCGTCGGGAGAATGCTGTCCTTCAAATCTCACAGACGCATTTTGCGTCAGGAGGGCAACGTTTGCAGACAAAACCCAGGGTTTTTCCTCCAATGCCGACGTGATCTTGCCGACACAAGAGCTACAGCTCATGCCAGATATGGTAATCGACGCATCGAAAACATCACTGGTCGCGGAGGCGGATTCAACCACCACAAACGGACGATTTATTCCAGTCTGGGGAGAAGGTGGCCCGCTACGTGAGGCCTTTTCACTGCTGTCCTTGTGTCTGGCATCTATCCCGGATCGACATTGCTGACAGTGCTCCTTATGTCGGCGTCTCCTCGTCTCTTCGGCGGCGACCTCCCGTTTACGCTGCCAACGCTCCGCAATCCGGTTCAGCCATACAAACGGGAAGTCATCATCACCGCCCGCGGTGTTAGTTGGAAGTGCGGATTCACCCGCGACACTGTCGGAAACCACTTGGTAGCCCGAGTTGGCGAGAGTGCTGGCGATTACGCGGGGTGTGAGTGAGGCGTCATGCGTGACGGTAACGCTGTGCGATAAGATTGACGCTTCCACAGATTCGGGCTTTGGTTTAAGGCCTGCCAGCAGGTCTTCAATGAAGGCAGTACATGTGGGACAATGAATGCTGGGAACGAGAAATGTGGTCCGAGATGGTGCAGACGAGAGTGCAGATAGTCCGTCCATGCTTGCAATGAGCTTATACTGTTGCCATGTCTGGGACATAACAATCGGAGCTAGAAACGAGACATAAGGCACTTTTATACTTCCCACAGGAGAAGCTGCTCGAAGTCCAAGAAAACAGCAAACTGGCTGTAGCGACAGCTTTGGTTTGCACCTGGTAGTTCTACAACCTTCCATGAACATTGAAGAGAAACGCACCCCTCACAGGCGCAAAGAAGCCCAAACAGGCGTCACGCGCGAAACAGTTGTACCATGACTTGATGCGTAACATTGAAGCCAAAGTTTCAATGTTCAAATCCGGCCACCAGACTAATTCTGGATACACCGTTGGCGCAAAAACAACGTAGCCTGCCGCATTGCCGCACAAATACCGCCTTGCCGCACAAGTAGCGCATTGCCGCACAAGTAGTGCATTGCCGCACAAATAGCGCATTGCCTTGGTTCGCCGCACAAGATGAGCTCTTTTCGCGGGCCTTATTCGCTCCAACGCTGATTTCGCCGCGGGGTGTATGTAACTTAGGGCCTTTTGAAACATCAATCGCATTTAATTCTAAACATGCGGTGACAGAAATAACATCTTGTCAAGCGAATTCCCCGCAACACAGCTTCGGCCGAATACCTTTCTTGTCCATGTGTAATCATCGAACTTGTCCGATATAAGAGATTTGGAATATAAGACGGCCTGCTCATCCATATCTTTTATTCGAGAACCTGTCGAGACACGCGCCCAATTAAATACAAAAGTACCCGAAGCTTGAGCCAGTATGACAAGAGCCTATGAGTTTGACGTGCAAATGTCCTGTGGAGGTGAGCATCACCGTCGTGACCCGATGTTGCAAAGCTAATAGATTCGCAGGTTGCGCTTCCGCAGTCAAGCGATCCGTCGCGTCCATGGAAAATGTTCTCTCTATCGATGCATCTGTTGAAAAACAGAAAGTCAATCTGACGGTTGCCGACGACGTGGAGTTTGATCTTGTAAGGCAGGCCATTGAGATGAGTGGGAACAAGGTCATTGAGGGGAGAATCATCGAAGACGAGACGGATGGGAAGCGTTAAGAGGAATGTTGCCGTATAGACTTGCAACAAAAGCGATGCTATGGAGATACTAAGTAATAACTTGTTTGCAACACGTAGCTTTGGTTTCATCAACACCCAATAGCGTGCCATTCCCCGTTTGTGAATGATATGAATCGTTGCATCATCACTGCATAGGTACAATGTAGTTTAGAGAAGGAGTACGGGAGTTTGAAGGGCTAAATTCATCATTGAGTCCGGGTCAAAGACGATCAAGGCAGCAGCTCTTGCATTTTGGCCGGCATTGCTGGTCATTTCAAAAGGGAGTTCTATCTCATCCCCTGCCCACTACCAGTAAAACCAACAGCTATTCAAATTCCTTCCAAATTGTAGTAGAATCCTCTCGATCCAAGCACAATTACGCTTTTAAGTTGCCGCGTAGCTACAACTCCGTGATAGTTAACCTAGGATCTTGAGAGCGCACGATAGGTTTTCTCACCCGAAGATTGACAGTGTTTTCACAGCATCCCTTGCAGCAACGTTGATCCTAATAAATGGAAAGTCCTGTCTCAGTCGGTGTTTCAATGACAGTCGCAGTACATGAGGCCAGTCGTTCCAGGCCCAGGGCAGCAACCAGGCCGTAACTGAAACAACTGAACCACGCGCTGCGTTCTATGAACTATTCTTAAACTGCGCGGCATGCCCATGGCTCTACATAAAGCCGGCTAGCTCCAGATTTCTCCTTGTTGAATTTGCCCGAGGAATGTTATCGTAGCTGTCCATTTCGTTTCTCTTTCCAGCCTGGAAGACCTTTTCAACATATTTCAACCACCAGAAGCGCAACATTACACATCTCTGAAACATCATGGACATGCCCGGAATGGAGCGCCCAATGGGTCCGATGGAATCAACCAAGCCTACAGAAATGACGGCTCTGCCGGGAATGAGTTCTGCAAATCGCGGCAACCCCACGACAGCCATAGCTCTCACAGCTGCGACAATCTCCAATGCACTGCCAGCGGCGTTGGAAACAGCCGGTGCAATCCACAGTGAAGAGAAGGCTTCGGTTCCTCCCATGACTGAAATGGGCTCGATGACATCTGCTGCGGGCATGTCCAACGCCTTTCATTTTGGGCTTGGCGATCCGCTTTGGACTACGTCACTGACACCTACAAGCAACCAGGGCTATGCAGGAGCCATCATCCTGCTCGTAGTTCTGGCTGTCTTTCTCCGTCTCCTGAGTACGACAAGGGGCATGGTAGAGAGGCGCTGGAATCCGCGGTCGAGTCGCCGTTGCAGCGATGATGAAGGTGACAGTTGTATCAAAATGGGACAGTCTGATGGAAATGTCAACCATGGCCCTCAGTGGAATGCCATAATAAAAGTCACGAAGGGACTTTTCCAGATTACGAGCATGGCGACAGGCTACCTGCTGTGAGTATCACCCTTGCGCCACGATTCTCACTACCTTGAATTAATTTTCGTTTTCATTCAGCATGCTAGCAGTCATGACATTCAATCTTGGGTATCTGCTTGCTGTTCTCGCTGGTGGTTTTCTTGGCGAATTGGCTCTTGGCTCAATTGAGCACTAAGAATACACAGATACAAAGAGCACTTGGGAATTTGCAGCGGCTAATAAGCCGCGACGAATTGGTTCTGTCGTTCTTTCGCTTGATACTAAGGGGGGAGTTTAAGAGAAAACGTGCAGGACAGTCTTGATCCTTCCAATCGTTTGTGTCGCCATTCAGTGCTGCTCACTGAATCGTCACTATGTTATTTGTACTTAGTGTGAATGTCGCTCGTTTTTGTGTCAGCCAGGGTCAGGTCTTGATTCAATCAACAGTCGCTCATTATGTAATTGTCCCAGTTCCTCTAAGAAGAAAGCCTTTTCTGGCAGTCCGTAGAGGCTTTGGCCGGGCCAATTACAAGACCCTTCCATAAGTGGCGGTTATATCAGAGAATATATTGTCCACAGAACTGATTTGCAATTATTGATGTGTAATGCTAGTGGCAGCAAGCTTTGGTCGCATACTTGACCTGTAGCTACCGCGCCAGAAAGTTTCAGCGCGTGGATTGCTATTCCTGTCACGCAAGTTGGATCAGACGGTTGTTAATCCGTCGTGGATAATCCTTTCAACTACCACAATATCGCCCTGCTTCAAACACTTTGGGGACTACTTGATATTGATGAGAAATAAGTGTAGGCGCTCTTTCGAGGTCCATACCGAGTGCGGCTGCCGGATAAGGCTCAGGAAACCAGTGTTGCCGTCGCAGGAGAGCCGCCGGATGGTAGCCCACTTGATGGCCAACAAGCGAGACCTATAAGTCAGAGGACGAGGTTCAACGAGCAACTCTGGCTACACTACGTACAGTTTGAAGAGTCGCCGAGATTAGATTTAGTGAGCTTACAAACCTAAGCGTCTGCCACGTCAGCTCTACCGATAACCTTGATTTTTAATTGCAGGGTGAATAGGGGTAGAACGCCACCCAAATCAAGGCCTCCTTGTTGCACTCTCTGCAACAGGTCGATCACTTCCGGCAACATGCGTCAAGTTGGTGCATTGATTGGCGTACGAACCGAACGCCATGCCTCGATCGGCGTGGTGGTTTTCAGGTATCAGCCTTAGCGCCGCACAAATATCGCAAGACCCCCGTGCCCTTTGTGCAATACCAGAATCGCAGCCCGATTAAAAGCGGCTTAATTAGGACCGATGTTTTAGACATGTTGCCGCCAAATTGTTGAACAAACATGTCGCTGAAAATCGAAATGAATTATTCTCGCTTCGCGTTCCTCTCCGTGGTATTACTGCTCTATCAGTCGTCGCTGTCGTTTGCAGCATCGCGGAGTTACAATTTCACGATTCACAGCGAAACAAGAGCTCCAGGTAAGGCGAATGGTGCGCCACGGCATTTTAACGCGGCTTGATACTTATTGTTGTTTACAGATGGCGTCTCCCGCCAAGTCTATCTCATCAATGGACAACAACCTGGACCTCTTATCGACGTTGATGAGGGAGATAGTTTGGAAATCTTTGTCCAGAACAACCTCCCCGTAGACACGACGATCCACTGGCATGGTCTGTATACCCTGCAAGCATTGTGGTTTCTGGTTTTTCTGTTCTCGTGGGTAAACCGTCGCTGACGCATTTCGGCCTAGGAATTCTGCAGCGAGCATCTCCTCAAATGGACGGTGTGCCGGGTGTAACGCAGGTAGGGCATTATTTCTACCTCCCAACGTGGAACTTGGTTGACCACTGGCAGTACCCTATACCCGCGGGAGGGAACTTTACTTATCGATTCAATCTCCAAGACGAATACGGGTTTTTTTGGTATCATTCGCATCTCCGCGCGTACTACAACGATGCAATCAGAGGGCCGTTGCTCGTCCGCCCTTCGCCTTCGCGAGGACGACCATTCGAGCAGCTTGCGAGCACAGAAGGCGAAAAGACGTTGCTCATGAACGCTGAGCGAGATGCTCCTTCCATTCTCCTCAATGACTGGACCCACGAACCCTCAGATGTGATTTGGTCGAGATACTTCACAACTGGGGCATTCCCAAACTGCGTGGATAGCATTCTTGCAAACGGTAATGGCAGAGTGCAGTGTCTCCCCGAATTCCAGAACGGCATGATGCCAAAAGCCAATCAGACGTCCCTATTAACGAGCTCCATGGCGATGATCATGTCAGGAATGAACAAACGAATGAACATGGATGGCTCTAGCATGGACATGGGAACCACAACCATGGTCATGGAAGGTCCAACGCGAACAACGGTCCCAGATACGGCCACAACTGCTAGCACTACAATGATGATGGCGTCGCTTGGTCCTCGCGGATGCGCAATGCCAATGATGTTCAACCCTGGTTATAATGCCAGTTCCCTTCCACCAGAAACTTGCACCAATACAACTTCAAGCTTGTTAAACATATCTGCAAACAGTACGACAGGTTGGCTTGCGCTGAACTTGGTCAATTCCGGCGCAGTGAGCGCGTTGCGGGTATCTCTGGATGGGCATTCCATGTTCGTTTACGCCGCTGACGGTTCATTTGTTCAGCTCCATGAAGTAAAGGTAAGTTTTCTTGACAGTCAATCGTCAGCTCCAATTGACCGTTTCAGGTACTACACATGGCTCTTGGTGAGCGGTACTCGGTGATGATTAGACTTAATCAGATGCCAGGGAACTATTACCTTAGGTTCGCGACGTATCCCGTGGGAGACATGCAGCAGGTGATGGAAGGTCAGGCAATTATATCATACAACGTAAGCGTCCTCTCTTGAAATTATATCATCCGTAGCTCATAGCATAGATATCGCAGACGACGAGCAACATATCCACGGACGTGATGGAAGATTCATCCATCGTTTGGATGCTGAAAAATGGCTCCGCCAAGTCTGAGGCTTCTCTGCTGAACCCTTCGAAGCTGGCACCTTTTGAATCCAACAGCCCTCCTTCAAAAGCAGCCGACAGAACGCAATTGTTTGCCATCAATCAAACCGGGGTAACTGCTTGGGTAATGAACAAGGCTCCTTTCACGGAGCCTAGGGTTCCCATCCTATACGGTGCCCAATCTGAGGGATGGTTGGCGAATACGACGATTCGAATGCCCTCCAACTCAGTCATTGACATAGTGATGAATGTCGCAAATGAATCTCTGGATACGGTTAGCAGATACCAGGCCGTTCACAATCCCTTTGTCTTTCAGTAACTAATGTCTGAAGATGGGCCACCCCATGCATCTACACGGCCACAAGTTCTGGGTTCTTGGGACTGGCACGGGAACATTCCCCTATGCAACCGCTCAGGAGGCGCCAAAATCTCTTATTAACCTGCAAAACCCACCGTATCGCGACACAGTTGAACTTCCATCTTCTGGATGGGCTGTAATCAGGTATGCCCATGAAAACGATTGTTTTCGGTTGCGTTCAACAGCTAACAGGACAGATACATTACTGACAACCCAGGCGCTTGGCTGATGCACTGCCATTTGCAGTGGCATATTGTCGTAAGTCCTTGCAATGAGTCTTCTCCCATGCATTTGCCCTACCTATATTTACACCACCGCAAACAGAGCGGGATGGCAGTTGTCCTGATCGAAGGAGAAGAGAAGTTACCTGGTCTACTAGGCAGCAAAGCCCCGCCGACAAAATCAACGGCTGTGAGCTTCCGCTCCGGCTATAAACATATCGCATGGGCAACGGTCGCCATGTTTCTATTGTTCTAAGCCTAGCTGAGCTACGTCAACTTTTTTTGAAGCTGGGATTGAGTTTTCTATGCCACTTCGACCCCAAGCAGTGACTGGACAATACTGGGGCCCTCCGCCCTCGGTCTGCTATATCCGGCACACGATCGTGATAGCGGCTATCCCACGAAACAGTATAGGCGGCGCCTTGGATAATGGAACTCACTGTCCCAGTGTGGTCAGGTCTTTGGCTGAGTAGTTAAATTAAACCGATTGTATAAATAACTAGTTGGATTACTTTGTTTGCCTTGAACTTTAAAACGAAATGATATGATTTCAGCCACCAAACTTGACAGTGGTACAATTGATCAACTTGGCAGCTTGGCTATGGCGCTCTGACATCTGTACCCGGCTCAGGGTACAGAGGAAAGAGACATTCTGCTGGTCAAAGCTGCGAATACTGGACGTAACAACGATGTAGAAATTGCCAGGCATGATGGGTATTCATCACTTGAGCGTCCGGGATGTTGAGCCCGCGACAAATATTTGATTGCGTCCCAGTCAATTCAATGGAGGTCTGTATTCTCCATCCCCGCTGTCGCAGCAGCTTACGCTAAGGTTGACCAGACCCATCAATGATCAATTTGCTCCTGGACCATTTAAGACGAGGCTCATCAGTCCCACTTAGACGCTCCAGCATGTTTCTTGGCGAAAACATGCTGGAGCGTCGGGGGGCAACCCCTGGTTTGCACCGATGGAGGCAGTTCTTCTGCAACGAGCTTTTTTGTTTGTTTTTAATAACCACATATGTAGTTATAACTAGTTAACTTAACTATCAAGTGCCAATTAATGGCAACCTCCTCACTCTTCTCATATCCAACCTCGATTCATCAACCTTTGTCCGGCAGTCCCAAATCCTGGCTCCACCAACCTCGTGAGATATCAACCTAGTTCACCAGCGCACCGCACAAATCACGCATGCGCCACGGGGCACCAGATCGCAACTTTGGATCCACAGCTTTAATTAATTTATCTTTGGAGTTAAGATCTGCGCCAGGGAGAGAAACGAAGAAAAAGACGTGGCGCGAGAGAGGGAGGTATTGCAAGCTTGCAGGGGAGATTCTTTTTCTAGTAGGGGTTCAAGTAACGACATGCTCAAAGATTTGGCCAAAAATAATTTCCGAGTTATCCATGGGATGAGTGGACCCCTATTGTCGCTGGAGGGTGCCGTGAGTCTCAGAGGCCGGTGAATCATCTTGAGATATATCTTAGAATTTTCGCGAGTCTCATGACAGGAATTATACCCGTCACCCTAGAGCTAACCTACTAGATACCACATGCCTGTATTTTTTGTAGTTCTCGGGGTGTATAGAAAGGACAGGTAGCGCCTCGTAGCCAGTTGCAATGAACGTGACGAGGAACAGAGACATGATAAGTGAAAGGCTGGAACGAACGTGCCATTGACGGATGATGATGCCAAGATTTGTTGTGTCCCAAGTCAAGAGTAACTGCAAGATCCAAGCTGTATGAGAGATATCGTCCAAAGTAGGAGCAGAGAATCGACCTACATTCAAACTACAAACTCCAGCCACGTCATTCACAGCTTCTGCTCCGTGAGACTCAAGGCGCGCGTTTCGGCTGTCTTGGCCCATCGCTGGAGAATGAAAGGTGTATCCCTGGGTTGGGGGGTTGTGAAAGGGCTGGCGCAAAGAACGGAAGAAAAAGGCAAAAGAATAGAGAGAGAAAGATGGGAAGACTATGCTTGTGAGTGCACCATCAACTCCCAAGGACCACGCAACTTGCATACAGTGGGCAGAATTCGACGAGACGAGCGATTGTTGGGTCAATGTGACACCACGAAAACGCCGTGGCTTGGGAGGGTACAGAGCGTACATTTGTTAGGGCATTTTTGCAATGTCTGGTTACTTGGCTGTATGAGAGGATTTTGCCCTGCCCCAACACCTCAGCGCCCAGCATATAGCAGTGCTCGCCGACATATACGGAAGAAGAAGTACACTCGGAAGTAGTTGCTAGGTCTCACGGCTCCAGCTCGACGGCACATAATCCCCCCTTTGCTCCGAAATGGTCTAACCCAAATCGAGGGCAATACGAGAGGGTACCCCTTCAGGGATGACTCTATTTGTGCCTCACCTAGAGAGGTCGTAGAGCATTCGGCCCTCTTCTACAAGTGTGCTAGCCCCCCAACGGAGAAGGGCACATGGCGATCGGACACCGCCCAGTCTAGAACCTAGAGCTCTAATCGCATCATGAAAATGGCTGGAACAGCAACGTGGGCTATAGAAGCCAGCCCCCGTGTCCACGAGCTGTTGAAGCACCTTCACACAGCTTCTGCCTCTCAGGAGAAGTCATTATCGCAGGTCTGGTTCTACCTGAAGACTATTATTGGGTTTTACATCCGAAAAGCGGCCTGGCCGAAAGCAGCGGACGATCACATGCGACACAAGTTTGTGAGTTTGGAGCAAGACAAATGCCAGTTCATGTATCTCCTCGCACGGTCCCTTGGTGCCAAGAACATCATCAAAGCTGGCACTAGCTTTGGTGTGTCAACTATCTATCTTGCCCTTGCTGTAGGACAGAACGCCAGAGACGCAAGGGTCATGGGTATGAGAGCCACAGGTAAGGTTGTTGCTACCGAAAAAGAAGCTACGAAAGCAGCAAAGACCATGGACTACTGGATGCAGGCTGGTGACGAGGTTGAGCCGTGGATTGAGATGCGAGAGGGAGATTTGCGAGAGACGCTTCAAGTAACGGAAGGAATGCCGGAGCATGTTGATATGTTGCTTTTGGACCGTAAGTACGACTTATAATTCCAGCGCTGCTGCCAAAAACTGTGTTCGAGGTCAGAGCTGAGATTTTGTTGCTAGTTTGGACTCCGATGGCGCTGCCGGTCATCCAGAGCGTTCGGCCGCGACGGTGCAGGGGAGCTATGATCCTGGCGGATAACACGCGGATTGCGAACCTATGTATAAAGATTTCCTGCGGTACATAAACGATCCTAGCAACGGCTTCAAGTCTGTCACAACGCCATATCATGGCGGCCTCGAGTTGATAGTTTACCTACCGGCCTCTTGAGCAATCGTCCCAGTTTGCAATTACGGTGCGCGCCGGGAATAAAAAGTGATGCTCTGCCCTTAGCTTTAGGAAGACGCTTCTCCTTACACCTTTGTGCTGAGCTATGCAAGTGCTGTATACCTACATGTTGTCAGTCATGTCTTCTGTTTCGTTTACAGTATCATTCATCCCTCAGTTCGTTGTTTACCCATGCTTCACCCACCAAACTCCCGGGCTCCGAATCCTCTTCCTTTTCTTACCTTTTCGATTCACACCACCAATCTACGCAGCAAGATGGCAGGGCTAGTACAAGAAAATGAAGATGAGCTAGTCGGCGTTGTTCACAGCTCAGCAAGCCCCAGCAAGCCCGCGACGTCAAGCTCTAGCACGTTTCACCAACAGAAAAAGCGACGAGGCTCTTGCTGCCATCCAATAGAGAGATGAAATGTCCCAAGTGGTAGGCAAACTGCATTGAGACCCGGCCGATGCGGATATGTATGCAAGGCTACGATTGCTCTTTCTGCTGACATGTAGTTTAGTATCGCGACCAAGTATGGAATTTCTGACTCGGTGCAACTGATATATTTTGAATTATTGAACAGCTAATCAGGGCTTGCGTCATCCCTATTCATCAGTAGGTTCTGTTCATCATTCCCGTATTTGACGAGAGCTGTCGCTGATACTATATGAAGTCCTCCGTAAAATTTGTTACCGCTCTAGTTTCCTCAATGGTATTGTTCTCCAAGCTTTGGCCAAAATCGGGCGTATAACTCCCCCTTTCCTGATCGTTCTCAGGCATCGCAAAGTAAGGATTAAAGTTCCTACCGTCAATGGTATGAGCCGAGTTTACACTCCAACCCAGGGCTGTGTCTGGGTCACTGAACGGATCAATTCCATTAAAAATGGGCTTGTCTAACTCGATATGCTGAGCGCTGACACCCCCTGCGATGTTTGTCGACCCGATGGGAATACCTGGTCCCATGTCCCTTTGACCTTGGAAAGGGAAGCAGGAAGTCATGGCATTTGTCGATGCAAGACTCCATGTAACATCAAACCTATCATCAGCTGATGCTCCATCAACAGACTGATCATGGCGTGAATAGAGCAAGTTGCTCAAGTCCATGAGGTGTTCGGAACCGTGCAACTGGGTTTGTCCATCGCTATGATTTTCGTCCCAAGATGCCGCGCCACTGTCATGAGCCGGGCTCATGCCCTGAACCTCAAAACCAGCTCCAGGCCAAGTATCCAAGACGGATCGGACTTTTTTGTAGGCGCATATGCACGGCTGTCCGTCGTTACAACAACAACGTTCTGCATGGGCAAGTCAATGAGAGTGACGAGACGAGGGTGGAGTCTTGTTTCGAAAGGCTCAGAACTGACCAGAATCGGCTTCAATCATGGACTCAAGCGAGGAATTTTGAGCCTTTGCGCCACAGTCGCATTTTGTATGAACTGAGTGTGATTGACGTAGAGAGCGACAGTGTTGGCACTGCCTTACGGGCCTGCCTTTGTTGGTGATTTTTTGAAGTGGACGATCTTGCCGGAACTCTAGGCATCAGCAAGGGGGAGCATTTCGGTGAAGCCATTCGAGCTGGGGAGATGACCGGATCGTAGCACTCACCAATGTGCTGACACTTGCTTGCGCGATGCCCGCGCACGCAAGTGTCACAAGCAAATTTACTACCGTCTAATATCATTTCGATTTAGGTACGGGTGTCAGTTTGCATCCTGTTAAACAGTATTAATCAACAGATGAGGGAAGCCTAGTGGGGAGAGACAAACATCACCCGTGCCAGCTCCAGCCTTTTCCGAGGTTACTAGTAGCACGGGCACCTGGCTTGTGAGATTGCGTATCCCTGCCGGAGCTGGGACACGCCGAACTCCACTTTTATCAGATGGTCACCAACGGGATCGAGTCGGAGTTGGTCTCATGAATAGAGCTTTGCTTGCAATAATAAACACGTTTCTGTCCTCATTGTTTCCGTCCAAAATATGGCTACGAATCGCAAGACACCTGTTTAAGGCAATCAATAATCTTTAGGAGGACGAAAAAAGAAGCAGAAGAACAAGTAGAAGAAATAAAAGCAAGTACGCGAGTAATAGCAGAAACTTTATCCGCATTGACTGCCTGACATGAGGGGTCTTATATGAGGACCACGGACCACGGGCCAGCCCAGCTTTGCCCTGGTCACAAAGCCTGCTTTGCTGTCCGACGTCCCTAACGCCACCTGTAGCTCGGTTCCTAACCTCTAAGAGAATGTGGCTTGTTGGAGTAGCGCTAACTATCTCACTCCGGGCAGGAAGAGAGATAAGGTTATCAGCTTACTGATGAGGCTGGGGGACTATGTGTCTAGCCCGTAAAAGAGTGTGGGTAAGGCTACGGCATAAATCGCTCTCCTAGCTGCTACTGTTGATGTTCCGCGGACTGCGTTGTTAACGAACCGCAGCTGCGATACGAGATAAAAACACGTTCACCCAGCCACATTCTCAGGTAACACGTTGCAGAAAAAGCAACATTTGTGGCAGGGGCCCCCTGGAGTTGCGCGCTGTAAGGGTTCTTACGGTGAAGCGCCGGATCCGAGGATCTGCCGGATTCACACCACCTCATTCATCCAAGTTTAACTTCGAATATCTCAACAACCATGGCTGCAATTAACGAGGCGCTTAGAGTACTCTTACAAGCCTGTAAGCGGAGGTCAAGCTGCTTGGATATGAGAACAAGGGTCTCCGAGAAACAATTATCCTTAAGAAACAGCGTAGGCAACGCGGTAAAGCTCTGAAAGACTACCTCTTTGACCGTGCAGACCCTAACTCGGTCTAGGTATTTAGCCCGGTAAAAATCGCTTAAGCACGTTTAAAGAAAGCCACGATAAAGGCCAATAAGCAAGAAGAGGCTCTTAAGAAGAAGACTAATAAAGCTAAAAGGCAAAAGAAGGCGGCGGCGGAAAAGGCACAAGCTTTAGAGAGGAGGATGCAACAGGAGGGGGAAATAGAACAAAAACGGCAGGCAAATGAGGCTAGAAAGCAAGAGAAAAAGGCAAATCAGCAAATTTGAAATGCTCTTAAGCGTGCAAGTCTGGGAATAGCCCAACAGAAGCAGTCAATACCACAGGAAGCTTCTGATGCCGTCGAAGACAACGAGAGAACCCAAGACGAAATAGTTGTCGCTCTTCCGTTCATGTCGGAGATGCCGGTGCCCTCGCAACTGCCGCATCAACCAAGTAATGAGACAGAGAGGCAGATACACATGAATTCAGCATGCATATCTGGTGCAAAAAGACCTTCTCTAGTTGTTGAAAATGGTCGAGAGCTTGTGGTGTCATATCGGGACTCACTCCATCCAAAGATGGTCCATCATTCTGCGCAACCAATTCCCGGTATTGCAGTCTGAGAAATCCAAGAGGCTCTAAATCTGTTCAACCCTCTCCTGACGCCAAAGTAGCCACCGTGGCCAAGGAATTCGGTGTGCCACACAATCGACTCCGTTACCACCTCGAGGGTCCGTCACCTACCCTGCATGTGACGTTGTCGCAGTTCGGAATCTGGTAGCCAGGCAAGTCAAGTGTATTATGAGAACTAAAACTGATTCTTTTTCCTTCTTTACCCAAGTCGCCCTCGACCTTGCTTGCCCTCCTGGAGCGTCAATTGGCGATGAAGATCAACCTGGAGGTCTGTGTTGATGCCTGCTCTTAGTCTGGGCTGACCTGAAGAGTATTCAAACGAATGTCAGGTTTCCTAGATGGTGGGCAAGTCAACTTACAGATATGTTGGGCTGGATCTTCGATTATTACGGCCAGGGACTTTTTCAAGAGAACTAGACGCGCCACCGAGGCGACACAGCAGCTGCAGTCGGTTAGAACAATATTCCACCGGGCCAGAGGTCTCTGCATGAAGGAATCTGGTACGAACAAGACGCCCAGCCAGAAGATGAGAGCAACCGCCATCTTGCGGTTCGTGGGCATGTGCAATCGCGCGATGACGGGGAGTGGGAAGCACAACACGATGACATCCAGAGCAATATTGGTTCCCACTTGTGCGAGGCCTAAAGCTGTCGCGTCGTAAGGAAGGCTCACATGGCCCGACCATGGCTCTGATACTGGTCTCGCATCGGTCAAGGTAAACTAATAGGCGCGTTAGTCTGCGGGGCCTCGTGTGTGGGCTAGGGATTACTGCAACATGACATGCAACGACTTACACAGAAGAAGACAGTCCCCCAAACAGATATTGTCGCAATTCCAAACCACACGCATACTTTAAACATGGCCGTCGAAAATATCCTCTTGTAAAAGAGAAGAATCGCAATCTTGACAGCCGTCTCAGGGGCGTTGAGAGAATGACGGAGCAGAGCCATATCAGCTAGTCAACGGAGCAATGCAATTAGCCACGTTTTCTGTCCATCACTTCAGTCGACAAGGAAAAAAAGAAAAACCAAGTGGGTAGCTGGGTAGTTGTTTTATTACGCCGGGGGACAATACAAACAGCGAGGGAGTACTTGACGCCCGTCTCATTATTAATCGTAGTAAGTGATGCCGGACCGGGCCGCCACGACCCAGACAACAATGCTGAGAGGCGCCGTAGTCAGCCAAGAGACGAGAAGCCAGCTTTCGTCGGAGCGCGATCCCGTCGAGGCCTTTTGACGGACAGCAACGACGCGCAGGTAAAGGGCGACGGCCGACAACGCGGGGAAAATGGCAGACACGATGACCAACCCCGTGGTGGCCGCCGACGGCAAGCTCGAGCTGGCCATGTGTGACATTTCCACTGTCCACGAGAGTAATGCAGACTCGATACAAATCGAGGAGAGGAGCAACATGTGGGAAGTGCAAGGGCAATATGGTCAAGGGGTGCCTTTCAGAGTCTGCCAGTCGCAAATAGTTCGGGCTGACGAGCGGCGGGAAGCACATTCTGGGATGGTGAGACATGATCGAGGTTCAAATGCTTCTTCACAACCAAGGCTGTATTGTATCGGATGGCGAGGTGGTGCGCGGAAATGCCGTGGCCGGGTGCCGAGCCTTCTGTTTCTCGGCCTTTTCTTTATTCGGCAAGTCACTATTGGTCCATCTTGATGTCTGTTTCACAGCATGATGCAAGTGTCGTGGCTTCGGCTCGTTTGCGGAAATGATTACATCGATCGATGTGACAACATTTGAAGTCACGTATTTGGCGGTGCGATGGATCCCTCCTAAGCACACGCAACCATGGCAAGGCCAAAGCCGTCTGGTACTAGCCGTTTTGGTTCGAAGCATTGACATGTTGGTCAATGTCACATCATCTGATGCAAAGGTGCCCTGCTTATGTGTGACGGGAGAGGTCGGGCTGCAAGTGAGGAGGCGTTTGACAAGGAGTTGTTCATCAACAACACATGGAGCTGTCGTTGAGGCTTGTGAATTCCGGAGCTCCCACAAATACGCATTTCCCTCTTTCGCACCTCGTTCTAATACCAAAGAGTCAACATTGAACTGCGTCGTGCACATGACCATGTCTTCCAACGATGGCTACCTTTTCACCCGGGACTACCTTGACAATAATAGGTACGCGCGCATGGAAACACGGCAAGAATGAACCGAGAAAGAATGCCAAAATCAAGAGCCAGTACTCGCAGATTAACCAGGTGGCAGGATCAACTTGATGCACAGTCTCTGGACAAAGGTTTTCGGATACGCCGTCCACCCCAAAATTCCCATCGCAAAACCCGACCTACATGTGGCGGACGTAGGTACCGGGACCGGGTCAGTAGGGCTGGATGCCGTCTGCACAATTCCATACTTCAAGTAATGGCGAACGATCCTAGCATTTGGCTATTCGATGTCCGAGAGCATCTTGCCAAGTCAGCCCAGCACGTAGGCTTGGACATCTCCTTTAACGCTGCGCCGCATCCCGATACACTACCCTCGAATGTCAAGTTGCGACACTGGGATATTAAAGATGACCTGCCAGCGGACCTGGTGGCGGCCTTTGACCTTGTCCACGTCCGCTTTCTGTCATTTGTTCTCTTGAACAATGAGGTAGAAGTGGTTTTGCGCAAACTTTTTCAAATGCTAAGTACATATATCTGCGCAAATTCGACAAGTCGATGCCGGTTGGTTGCTAACCCAACATCAGAGCCTGGCGGCTACCTGCAATGGGGAGAGCCCGACATGGAGACACTTCGCATCGACAAGGTCGCCCCCGAGGCTAAAAGTGAAGGCTTGGAGCAGCTGTTCAAGTTGTTTGAGATTCAGGATGCGCGCCTCAAACCAACCTGGGCGGTAGAACTGCACAACCTCTTCTCTGCCGTGGGGTTTGACCATGTGGACGTGCACAGCCTTGACTGTCCGCCACATTGGGCCTACATCTTTCACGAGGGGGGGCTGATGATGCATGAAATCATCTCTCGCAAGAACAAGAGCGAGAAAATGCAGCACGAGTTGGCACGTCTGCTGCCGCAGGCCGTCGAGGAAACTCGAAATGGAGCTTGGGTAAGCTGCGTACGGTTGACTGTTATTGGGAAACGGCCTGCGCAATAGTCGAATAGTTGATTGAGCACACAATACGGATAGAGCTAGGTCTGTGGCTCGAATATCTCAAGCGAAGGAATGGAAAACAAGGCCGAGCGACCTTGTCGTGGTTATGCGAGTAGCAGTGCAACGAAAATAATGTTCATCAACTCCTCTCCTGCCTCCTCAAATACTCCGTACAGGCAGCAATTCGAATCAAAGTTTGCGGGCGCATAAACTAGTTGATGCTTTGTTTGGAAACAGCGACTTGCTCTAAACCTCCTTCAAGGGTTCGATTTGCTCAATGTCGTGAAGGCGACAGACTCTTCTTCGTGAGGGGGCGTTCATTTCTCGCCCACAGAGCCTCAACGACGGTGGAAAGAGCCTGGTGTCTCTGCTCATGTTTCATGCCATCTACATGCCAGGCGTATTCGTGTATCCTGTCCACCTATGAACCGGAGAGCCCACCGAACAATTGCTAAATGAACTACCAGACCCCATAGACCTCGATGTTGCCTCACAATTCCGCCAGATTGTAATGGCCCGAGACTGAAAACCAGGCAGTCATCTCATATAGGGGTCACTAACGCACTATAATTTATGGCGTAGTCACGTCCATTTGTTGGTGTGACAACCTGCATGTGCCATTTGAGTGTTACATATGTAGCACCTTCTAAGACTACTACATAAGACAAGGCCACCAGACCAGACCTGTCACCCACACCTCAACAGCCAGGCCTAACGAGCCCGAATTTAGCAGCACATGCAGCTTGAACGAGTTGAGCCTAAATTCAACAACCCTGGAAGCCTCAATTTTAACAACCGCCCCCAACCCCGCCTCACCGCTTTGCTTACACCTATGACAAGGGTTGACGTTGTCATCGGACCTAGTAAATCGGGGTTGCGTCCTTTCGTCATCATGAAGCAATAGATCATGGAAAATATGTCAGACCATCGCAAATTACTTGATTGACTATGGAGCTATCAACACGGTTCGCCAGCCCACCATATTACCAATACCCAGCCCTCGATGCTTCAAAAAGAGAATTCCGTCTTATCCGGCTTCTGACGCCCAAACCATCGCTCATCCCAGGCTACCAGGGCACTCTGCGCGTGGAAATCATCGAGACAACAACGAGGGTCGAGTCTGGGGAAACCTGCTCCTACAATACGCTCTCGTATGCCTGGGGCAATGAAAGCAATAGGCCCCAACGCACAGTGCTGGTTGAGGATAGAGGCAAAACATACAAACTTGCCATTTACCGCCCATTAGAGGTCGCGCTGCTACACCTAGTCGCGACCAGCGTACTCGACCTCCCGCTGTTTGTGGATCAGATATGCACCAACCAGGGGGATACCATCGAAAAGGCCCATCAAGTCGCTCTCATGAAGGACATATACAAGAATTGCGAGCGAGGCGTCATCTGGCTCGGCGCCGCATCTCGCAACTCGGACACGTGGTACAATTACGTTCGAGAAAGATGCCACGACGGCAACGGGGTTCTATGCGGCATCATCAACCACCGACTCGCGAGCTGCATGAATGTATTCGACGCAGTCATGGATCTGTCCATAGAGATCAGTGACCAGGAGCGCGAGGATCGCGACGCAATACTAGACATGATACGTCTTCATGGCGACGACTTTCCTCTAGCAGGATACGAGGACATTCTCGACCGTCGCTGGTTCCAGCGCCTTTGGACCATACAAGAAGGATGCTTGCCACGACAGCTCCTCTTGGCTTGCGGCATGCAATCTCTCTGCTTTGATTGCTTCAAAGCCGGCATGTTCTTCTACAGCCTGTACAACACTCACTGGAATAAAAACCATTCAGGCCTAAAATCTAGGCAGGAGCTGTGACAAGGGCTCAGTAGAGGGCTTGGAGCATTTACTCAATTCATCTAATAACAGTCTTTGCTATCAAAGGTCCTTGGTTTTCCTCAAGGCCTTAAGGGACCAAAGCCGTCTATTTATACAAGAAGTCGGTGAGGACCTTCTGCCCTAATCCCGTGACCGTAGCCCTTGTGTAACCAGCCATTTCCGTGTAACAGGAGCTCAGGCGTCGAGTCATGCTTCTTCGCAATCCCAACGCGTTTGGTCGTGTGATGGAGGAACGCAGAGCCATTCACGGGTCGAATGACCAAAAGTCGCTCTATGACATTGTGCTCAGATATAATGTCAATGACCTCGAACCCAAGATTGGCGCCTCCATGGGCAAGGATCGAATCTTTGCACTGCTTGGGCTGGCAGCGGATGACGATGAGTTCCGCAAAGGGGTGTGCGTGCAGTACGGCGGTACTATGCGAACATATAGGGATGTCGCACGCCTGATGCTGAAACGAGACGTCGATACACTTCTCTTTAATCAGTTTCCAAAGAACCTGGCAGGATTACCGTCTTGGGTCCCCGACTGGAGCATGAATCTAGTTACGCCACTCGGCTATAGCAAGCTGACTGAGCCCGAGTTTACGGCTGGGGGCGAAAAACAAACAGCCGACTTGTCGCTCGATGAGCAAAATGGTCTTGCCATCAAGGGCACCCTGTTGGACAAGGTTGTTTTCGTGGGCGAGCGCACGTATTCTGTTTCTCGTGAATCCTTTACGCATCCCCAAATTGATTATCTAGATGCCACTCTGTTTTTCAATGAGATATCCGCCGTCGTACGGGACGCAGCGTTCGTGTATAACGGTCATTCGGCCTTGCCACTGGACCAAGAGGCGCGAGCCCTGCAGTTTCTTCGTGTCTGCGACTCTGGTCTTTCGTACTGGAGTTTGGCAAGGGAATTTGGCCATTTCGAGGCCAAAGAGCGTTTAGAAACATGTTTTTACGTTGTCAATTTCGTAGGAGAGAGCGCGATCAAGTCTGAAGAAAGCTTGGCCGCGTGGTCCATCACTCGTATCTATCATACAATTGGCGTTGTTCCGTGGTATTTCCAGGCCGGCTCAGAAATGGAAACACTCAGATACTGGGCTCGAGGTCCCATCGCAATGGCAAAGTTACTATATGAAGGCGTTCAAGACTTCTTGTGGGAGATGTTGATGCTTTGCGCATCATCGGCTATGGTCCAGGGGATATCTTGGTACATCGACTTCACGCGCCGGTTCAGAAAAATTGACTACAAAGCTCACAAGGACCTAACAAAGGGCCCTAAGATGCCAGAAGAGTGGGTGACGAAACTTGAACAATATGCCGCGGAGAGGCATTCATTCATGCATGATTTGGTGAGAAACGCCGGCCGAAGAGTGTATCGCACAGAAAGGGGTTACGTGGGAATGGGGCCGCCGAAAATTGAATGTGGTGATATGGTGGCTGTTTTTCATGGAGGCACGATGGCGCATATTCTGCGTCCATCCAAGGATGACAGAGGTCATGATGAGGACACAGCTTGGGAGTATATTGGAGAAACGTACTGCGATGGTATTATGCATGGCGAGGCCTTGGAGTCGGGCGTTGCTCGCCGCGTACTGCTTGTCTGAGTGAATATGCAACTCGCCGTACATTTTTGCATCATTTATGAAGAGTATGCTGCATTTCTTGGGAGTGGCCTCGATCGGAAAGTCTACCACAAGGCTTTCCCTACCATTCCTTCTCGTCACAGCAGAGAGACTCGAAATTTCCGAGATCCAGTTACCTTACTCCGTACTGTTCGTCATAAAAGATTGATTGGTCTTCATGCGACTCAAAGTCAAGAAATGCCTCTTGTATAGAGTATGGCAGGTGTAGCTAACCAAGAGCGGTTTGTGAACCACACTCAAGTCAAAATAGACTTTACGTCGTACTCGTACGAAGGTGAGGATTGATAATGTCTATACAGTCCATGTAACGGGCCAAGCCGCTTGAACGGCGGCTGTGCCGCCTATCACTAACCCCCCAGCGGGCTGACTCTAGAATCTTCTGTGGAGGCGTACGGGGAAGATATAAGGCGCTATTATTGTGCTATAAAGTATGTAGACTTTCTTTTCTTCTTTATTTTGATAGTAAACAGCATATGGACTAGTTAGTCGACTCAACTCACTGGAGGTCTTTCACAGTCCACAGTAGGTGCTAGATGGCTCTAGCTTCAATCATATGGTGGTGAAGACCGGAAGTCCAAGAACACACAGAGTAGTGTGTCCGTTATCTAGGGAAGGCGAGGTGATTGTGTTCTGAGCTTCCCTCAATCAATAATTGCTGAGAACGGGCGCACAATCTTTTGATGCATTTGTCGTCCCAAAACTGAGCGCACTAACGTCCGCTCTATGTTGTATCCTTCACGACCAGTTCTCGGAATTCACGGAATGAACAATTTGTCAGCGATCGCGACCTCGAGTCGATGAAAATGGTACTACTTGTCATTGCTTAACCCCTACTTCCCAAGACCTGATGTTATATTTCGCCTTGGATCGTATTTATCTGGTTTGAGTCTCTAGCTAGTGTAAGATGAGAAACGGTATCAGGAACTCGTCATGGTACAGGTCTTCTTCTTTGGTATAATGTATAGGAGAGTCTGTTGCATTAGATAGCCTGGGGCCGGAAAGAATCATCTGTACATTGCGTTCTATGCCAAATTTGAGGCAGGGTGCTTCATGATGTGCAAATCGGGCACCGACCCGGTAATATTGACTATGCATTGAAGAGTGCTGCAGGCTGGTCCTCCATTCTAATCTGCATTTCCTTACCATAAGTTGCCGTGTAATATTATTTTCGCGATACACGAGGGAAAGCGCTGACTTTACCTGGGAAGATCAAATGATAGTTGAAGATATTCTGGATTTGCCAGATAATTAATAATTATATGTATTTAATATTAATATGCACTTATACTTTTTTATAGCAAAATACGCTCTTAACCATATAAAGTGTAGTTCTGTTATTATAAATAACGCTTCTATTAACGTATATATCGGCCAACCAGACCTATTAGACTTTACATCTACTAAAGGGGGTATAGTTTTATTCACAAGAGGGTTAAGCAATCAATACATCTCCAAGGGAACAGGGTTAGTACTATCGCCCCTGGACCAGGTAAGCACAAATTCTTAGCTATTGAATAAGTCATGCTGACAAGAATCACAGAGTGGACGTGACTCTATTAATCCCTGCGATAATAAATAATAAAGCCTAACAAGAATTTACCAGCCCTATAAGTTGACCTGCGCAACCGTCTGAGATTGTAAGTTGCGTGGTGTTTCTTGCTTTAATGGATAGCTCGTGTGTTAGTAGGCAGACGTTGCGCTGTAATAGCGGAGGAGTTGTTAATAGCTAAACGTAGTTTATGCTAGAACTTGATATTGGCTTGCTTGTTTTCATTTCGCTATGGGTAGGATAAAAGAGCGGAGGTTTGGAGTGGAATTTAAAGAAGATCCAGCATTTAAATGATATATTTCTACAACCATGGAACGCTATCAAAAAGACCCCGAAATAACTATCCTTGGCGCCGGTTACCCGCCATTGGTCTCTGATAGAAGGCTTTGGGCGACGCTACCTGTTTCTAGAAGGAAACACTCTGAACCACAGAACGCCTGCCTTAGGGAAGACTACTACTGTCGGACCTGGCATTATTCGTATCAAGTCTAATACTCGGAGAATAGAGCTCCAATTCTTCCACCTCACGACCCTTAAAGGGATCCCCAGGACTCGTTCTAGAGCTGCTACGTATGTAGCTAGTATTAGAGGTAAAGCCACCGTAGCCAGGGTTGTTGGCACTCCTATTCTTGGGTTTGCCCAATAAGTAGTCGTAAACGGGCTTGATGGGCGGCACGCTGCCGCAAAGAATAATAACAAACAACTCTGCTCCGGACCACATGTAAAGGTTGTAGGTCTCCCCTATTACACACTTAGTCAAGCACTTATGGCAAATGGAATACGAAGGTCAGAACACGAAGCAGGGTTCTGCCGAAAATACAAAGGGGGTTGCGAACGCACAAGTTATATCGGAGCGCTCGTTTAGAGCCACAAGGTACGTAGTCTTGACGGCGGCGAAGATGGCAGCAATAACACCGAGGCCCAATAGGATACACAATTCGACTTTTTTCTTCCAGGTTAAATTGAGGTTATAGAAGAAAGAAGCAGGCAAAAATGCTAGGAATAGGTCTACTAGGATGTTGTAACCTGGGAAACCCATTAGTTTATCGACATTTGAGAGCCACTCTTATATACACACGCAGTTAGACTTACCGGAAAGAAAGATGGCAAAGTCGGTCTGGATTGAAGACCGCCAGCACTTGGCTTTTCCTTCTACCACCAATTGCGTGTTCCATAGGGCTTCTACGGGCGAACACTGCGTGAAAGTAAGGATGATATTGACGGCGCTAATGAGAAGCGCTGTAATAATGGCAAACCATAGAATCCGTCTGCGCCAAAACGTGGTCGATCCGGTCACGCGAAGGATTAAGATTCCCACTGAGATTTTTCCAGTCGCGAAACCCATAATGTGAAATGGCTGAGATATCCAGCTCCATTTTGCAGCCTCAGTCCTTTCCTCGGGGGTTAAATAGTACAAATGGCGCATACCACCAATGGATATGTCCTTGGTTAGGATGGCGACAAAGAAGATGAAGAGTATCTGCACCGAGATGTCAGCAGCCGCTTCCATTGCTCAAGCGACGGCATTCAGGGTTGGGAGATGGGAACCAGCTTACAAGTGTCAGCAGCATCATCCAGTCGTCGGGTCCAGTTGAGCGCATCATGCGTCGTCCCACAAACCGCATTAACACGACGAGTATACCCATGGCTGTCATAACCCAGCAGATGACCAAGGCCTCAGGACCACGGTCGACATCGCCGCCCAAAGGCGCAGGACCGATCTGCGACATGATTGATACAGGGGCAGCGTAGTTCACAAGAACAACATCTCAACCAACTAACACGGCTGAAAGGGGGATAAGCTATGTTTTCATGAATTGGCGACACTATAAACTGTCCGGCGTCCACCGACGGCAGAGCGGCGGCTCGTATCATGGCGAACACTGGAGATTGTTCTGGGCCCTGCTATGGCGCCCAGCTAGCTGCTCTGTACGTCGCCTTGACCCTTCCCCCGGGTTTGCCCACGGTCAATCCCCGCAGATGCGACCGGTGCTGTCATGCTGCCGCCGTGGCGTCTCGGATTGTGCTCCGTTCTGCGGGCACCGCGGCTCTGGGCGCTTGATATCGACTCTGAAACAGCCAAGTAAGTGGCAAGTGGGCGAGTTGATTTTTTTTGAGGCTGGCTGCGCACCGATGTCGGCACGCTCTGCCATTCGAAAGTATCGCCTCTGCGAGTTTACGATGAGGCGCACTATTGTTTTCAGTATCCATTTGGTCGGTTGCGCTGATGGTTCCATGTGCTTAGTTTTTCACGTTATGAGAGTCGCTGTTATCTCTTTCCGTTGACGTACCAGTATTGTGGTTTACCGGATAGCTTAAAAAAAGAAGAAGGAAAGAAAGAAGCATGAATAACGTTCTTTCACCCAAGCCTTCCCATTTGCTTTTCTAGCCATGTTCAGTCATAATAAACGACGCAATGACTGATTGCCTTTTCTATACCAGAGTCATATTTGTCCAAAAAAAATCATCATACTCAAAAGTGAGCTCTAATAATTCACCAAACCATAGATTCGCTGCTCGGTGTAAATCCAACTTCCAGCGCCACCGTACAATACAAGGCAGGCCGGCACAGAGGTACCGGACGTGGACTTGTGGAAAGCTGCGTCCGGAGACTCTGTGCAATTCTAGAAGCTATACCTAGTTACGGGCCCCAAGCGACCAACTCGTAGATGATGGCCCATCTGAACGCGCAACACCACAAGGCAGACCGAGGATACAAGCCGAAGCCACGACCCACAAACGAGACTCGTAGCTTCCTTGGCAAAACTATGCAGGAAGCCTACCGCTGTCGCACTGTGTCGCAGCTGGTGTGGTTTTTTTGTAGACCGCGGATAGCCTAGCTATAGAATGCCGCTATGAAGTTGACTGCTGTCAGGAGTGTTCAAGCAGAGCCTGCTTACTTGTGAAAAGAGCGATGTCATACTCTCGTCTCGTATGATGGTATAAGACATACAAAGTCCTAGTAGGGCTAATAGATGTATAGTAGTTTTGTTATCAAGAACATACAAGAGTACAGATGTACTACTTGAGGAGTATGTCAATGCACAGTTAATATAATAGTTACTTTTATAGAGGACAGTCTACTTCTAGGACATGAGACGTGGCTGCGCGACGTGTCCAATTATCCTGCTTCATGCACATGGCATTCCAAGACGGCACTCAGCGTCAGCACAGTCGAAGCCATCAACATGAATCACACCGCGACGGCATTCGGCGTCAAAATTTGCACCCGAACCGTTTCACCAATAGTGCAGCTGTACAAACGATGCTCAGGCCATCAGAGTTGGGGCTAAAAGTATATCCCCGCAAGTGGTGGAGGCGTTGAGGACGTCATGATGGCCGCAACAGCAGGCGTCCTTGTGGCGTGGATTAACTTGATAGAAGCGGACATTAAAATCATCAATGGCTAATGCGAGAGCGAGGCGCCTGTAAGCCAATTGGTCCCAGCATGTCAGTGCGACCCACGGCGGAAATCAAGCAGAAACGTAAAGTATGGAATAACGAGTACACTGTGAGGTAATAAGATTTTGCTCAGCCCTCGAGTTGCTCAGCGCCACCGTTCACGGGCCGCGGTATTCATCCACTCAAACCAAGCACCTGTCAGAGGCTTGATCTTCAGATGAACCCCCTGACTGTCTTCAGCTGGCTCATGTCTGGTTGTACCTGACTCCTTGGCCGTGCGCCGTACTGGAGTTGTAAATCTCCATGTTATATTGCGGCTCCTACCGGGGGGATGCCACGCAACTGGCGCGGAGGGCGGGCCTCTTGTTTCTGCCTTTCGGGCCTTCCTTTTGTTTATGTTCCTGTTGGCCTACCGCAGGCAAGGGCTGCAAATGACGGTAAATCAGCAAAGTCATGATGGTTCAGGCCGTTGGTAGAAGCTCAACTTGGCAGGGACATGGACATGGGGGACGACGCAACTAGGCCCGGATTCAGCCTAAAAATAAGATATACATACCAGCTACTCGTACTCCGCACATGCCCAAAAAATTCCGTATACATGCTTGCCTTCCGCACGCTGCCCCCACGTGGCTAGCGTCTCTCTGTTGCGGCTTGTGGGGGAACGCGCAACTTGAATGCCCATACATGGCGTTTGTCCGGGGACAGCTTTGCTGCATTACCGGACAAGAAGCTGCTGGGGAAAGCAGAGCAGCCCCCGGCGACAAGTGAAACTATCGAATACACCAGAGCACTAAGGGCTTAAACGTTGTACACTACACAGTTGTGGTCTACAACATCCACAGTTGCCAGCAATCGTATGATTTTGAAACGTTTCTACTCTGGGGCCAGAACTGAAACCCGCATGAAGATTCCCTTGACCTGGTCTAGCCTATGCCTGCGCTACGATTGCTTTCAGAGGTCGGTTCTAGTGGAGCGTGAAACTGCGCTTGGGTATGCATTATTCGCGTTTTCCGAAAGACATTGTATAACAATGGGCAATTTCCAAGCTGCGCTTTTTGGGCTTTGAGCGATCTGGGACACTTTCGGGGGTCATTTTTCCCAATTTATTTGACCTTTTTATTTTTGCAAAGCATCCCCTCGCCATCATGCGGGTTCCTTTTCAAGGCTCGTGGGGGTTTTTGACCCTTCTAGTGGCAGCCGTGATGCGGGTTTCGGTCGCGCAGGCTCAATCGCCTGGGTTTGCCGCCCTGATGCAGCTTCCCCAATGCGCGGTACGATGACTTGGCAACAGACATGTAAAGACGCTTGCTGATTTTTCAGATCAATTGCATGAATACGCCGGGGTTTAACTTGTCGGCGTGCAATGTCGACGACCTGCCATGTCTTTGCCATTTACTCTCCTCCGACGCCGGAAAATCCGTGTCAACCTGCGTGGTGACAGACTGTTCGGTGAAGGACTCGCTTGGTTAGTTTCACACGAGTTACCACACTGGCTATCTGCTAAGACACTTACTCTGCAGCTGCTCGAAACCTTACGCAACAGGCTTGTGGCCCAGAACCCCGTAACCAGAGCACGACGTACACCACCGTCGCCGTTGTGTTTACAATTTTATCTTCCCTGGCTGTCATTCAGCGCTTCGCCGTCAAGCTCTGGTTCCCGCACATCTCCATCGACCTCGATGACTGGTTAGTCTTGGCCACCGCTCTCTGCCAGCTATCCAGTGCCGTCCTCGGTGTAGCCGGCGGCGTGCCCAACGGGGTAGGGCGCGATATTTGGACGCTGTCCTACCGACAAATTACAAACTTTGGCGTGTGCCTATACATTTATGCCATCTTGTACTTTGCCAATGTTGCTACTCTGAAGCTTGCCTTTTTGTTCTTTTATCTGAGGATATTCCCCAGCATGCTCATCAGGCGATTGCTATGGGTGACCATCGGGTTCACAATCGTATACGGCATTACCTTTATCCTCACGAGCGTCTTTCAGTGCAAGCCCATCTCATATTACTGGGTGCATTGGGACGGCGAACATCAAGGGACCTGCGCAAACATAAGCGAAATCGCCTGGGCGAACGGGGCCATCAGCATCGCTATCGATATTTGGATGATAGCCATTCCCCTGTCACAGCTGTGGAGGCTGAAGCTTGACTGGAAGAAAAAGGTGGGCGTATTCATCATGTTGAGCGTCGGATTCTTGTAAGTTGATCTCTCACCCCCCCGGGGGGGGGACCGTCTTCTGCAGCCACAACTTTGAGCTAATCTCGTCTGTAGGGTTACAATCGTCAGCATCATCCGCCTTCAAGAAATTATAACGCATGCCATTGACGATCCCAATGCGACATGGGCGATAATGAATCTCGCCGTCTGGTCTACCGTCGAAATTAATGTCGGCATCATTTGTGCCTGCATGCCTTCCATGCGCCTCCTTTTTGACCTGGTCTTTCGCGCCACATCACCAAGACTAGCCGCATCTGCAACTAACGAGGCCAACGTGCACAACAGCGGTCGTTTGTTCAGCCGTGGAAGAGGATTGGGGGTGACGTCGCACTCCGTGTTTGAGCCATACTTTGCGCCCCTTTCCCGTCAGACGGGAGTTATTACGGTACAACGCACGTATAATATTGAAGTCGAAACGCTAAACGAGAATCTTGAGGAAGCTCAGCTGGTGTACATGACGAATTTGAGCAATGACAAGCAAAAGCATGCAGAGGGATAGTAGGCTAGAGATTTTACATACATTAATATGTGTACGGAGCAGAAAAGAAGATACCAGACGTCCAAGGAGTACGTTGCTTGCGCCAGGCGAGAGGCTGGTCGTGATGCATAGCTTGAGCCAACCGAGGGTTAGGGTTATACCATGTAGCTGCGGGGGAAAGTTCATTGCCCAGTCGCTAGTGCCGTCTACGCGAGCGGCGGTCCCGTGGGCTTCGCTGGTTGCAGTGTGGATCTGACGCCACCACTGCCACAACGCTGACTGGTCCAGCCAGCCTCCAGTCTCCACTCTGTTGCGCGGTGAAATGAATTTCACTGGACGGAAAAATTTGCGCCTTTATTTCCGAACCATATCCGGACGCCAGCGGGGGTCGCCGCCTGCCGCCGTTCGTAGTGCGCGCGCACGGGGCACTTGCACCGCCACCACGTGCATGTGGAGATGAGACATGAGCACAACCGGGGATTGCCAATTATAGTTGACATCTCAACTTGACTGCCGTTTACATATTTCCTAGGTATTTCTAGCACGTAAGAGCGATGAGAAAAAGAACATTTCACAAGCATACATATGTATGTACTAGACTTGTAGTCGACTACTGTCTTGCGATAGATGTTCCTAGTACATATGCAGGCTTGTATTGACTCCCGTATACGAACCTGCTAATATCATTGTGGTCCATGACCGGCGCCAGTGGATAGGCGCGGTACCCGAATGGCTCAGTAATGCTGGGTTATGTCTTAAGATATGCGGTGTCGCGAATGTTCTCGCCAAGTCTACATAATTTGATAGTCAATGAGAGGACATGAATCGACGTGGGCCTTGTACGCACACAAATGTGAGCTGCATGGTCCGACGGCCACCCCGTTTCCCTGGGTGCGTATCGGTGAGTGTCCCTGTCTATTCTTTCCTCCGAGGATACTCAGGTCGGCATATCCAGTTTCCGACTCATCTTGGCAGTCAAAGCACCAATATACCGGGACCAATCAACTTGCATAGACGCCGAGGAGGTGCCAATCCGATGTGATCCGGAGAATCGGGTCAGGCAAGTGGTAAAAAGCAGCAACAATCCCGCCACGGCAAGAGTCTGGTACGGAGTATCCGTACCTTGCTATGGATCCCCTTTCCACTTCCCCAGACGCACATCGAAGTTCATGCCTGGTTCGCCGAAATGGCAAAACCCCATGTACGCCACAAAAGCAGCCAGCTGCTTGGCGCGACCAACATCACGTCGGCTAATGCTGACACCCGCCGCGGCGATATAAACTGAGCGTGTTATAATATAGCAATTCAAACATCTTAATTGCCGTCTTCCGCGCCATGGCACAATGCCCCTCATCAGACCATCTGGCGATAGCGGCGTAATGCTAAGCATGCCGTGGCGTCCAGCGCCATTCATGAAAAATCTCCTGGCGCGTACAAATTGTGGTCTTATGGAGACGCAATGACTAGAACTTTGCTGACACCAAGTGCCGGTATATTCTTATACCAGACCAAAAACGCGGTAGGGGAGGTGGTCCCACGCGGCTACTTTGCAGGTGGGCAGACACTCTTCTGATATTGTCAGTAGCTTTTAATTATTTGCAGTGTAGCAGTACATATTTTATCAGGTAGGCAAGCCGGGGTCTGAGATACATCAACTAGTTACCACCGCCATCGCGCTGCATTAGATTCTATAACGTAACTATTAGTCTCTTTTTGGGCGTTGCCATGGAGTGGGTTCTCCTTATGCTGTTCCGCCTTACTGTTCAAGATCAAAACGAAAGTATTATTTACTGCTTCTTTGTAACTTATCTACACAGAGAGAAGGCAGTGATTATTTGCGTCTTGCCGACGTGGGCATGTCGCGTGCTGACCGGGTGAGGGTTTGGACTTCGGACCCGTTGCCATGCCGCTCCGTGGATGTTTGGCGCGAGCACTCAAGGGACTACTGATGGCGCGTAAGAGAAAGGGACAAGTCCAAATGAATCGACGCCATGACCCTGAATTCTTTTAATCCATAACGCCTGTAATGCCCGGAACGCCGGCGCATGACTAGTGAGCCTTGTACTGTACGCCGGTCGTCTGCACTCCATCTACAACACTCCAACGTCTCGGTGAGATTGTAGTTCGTTATATCCGTGAAATTCGCGGCCCTATAACAAATAAGGGAAAACACGCCGACGTAAGTTGGTCCCCATGAACGCCACCGCTATCAGCGGCATCCCCAACGACCTTACGCGTGTTCTCGCGGAACTTCGTCTGCTCTTCATTCCACTTTGCAGACACAATAGTATTCGTCATGTCCGATAATGAGTTGTGCCCAGCGTTCTAGTTGCATCACGCGTACGCATTAGGGTTGCCATCGCTCTGGATAATGTGACTCCCCAGAGAATCATGCCCTTTGACTCCTTTTGACTGAGAAATTCGTGGCAACATTTCTCCTCTATACACAGAGGCAGAGTTACATCTTACTAAACCACCACACATGCGTCACAAATATATAAGGCTCTTCTATCCCGCCAACTTACATGCCATTTTCCATTCTTCCCAACACACTCATCCAAGTCCTCTCTTTTACATCAGCCTTACATCATTTCAATTCTCCCCAATTTCGCCAACATGAAGAGAACTATCTTTAGCTCGATTATCCTGGGCAATGTCTTTGCTCTAGCCCATCCCCATCTCCCGCGCTGTTTGGATAAGACAGTCACTGTCACCGTTGAGCTTCAACCCTTGCAGACGATATGTTCGGGGGTTACCTCGGTGAACACCCTTACATCGTATGTAGACATTTTCAAGTTCCTTTGAACCTCCTGAATTAACAACGTGGATCAGGTCCTATACAGGTCCCGCGACTAGTAATGTCCCGGTTGTAACGACGTCGGGGTCCGTTTCTGACACCACGTTGTCAACGACTGCGCTGAGCAACACCGATACCGCAACTGGTTCCGTTCCGGTATCAAAGAGCACTATCCAAGGGTGAATTAATATATCTAAGTTTTTTTCAAACTACTAAGAGTATAAAGCTGATAATATAAGCTAGGTTATGTACAAGTCCCGCGCCTACTAATAGTCCTATTATAACAATATTAAGCTCTGTTCCTGATACTACCACGTCGGAGGCCTATATAAGCAGTACTGATACTACTGCTACTTCCGGTCCGATATCACAGAGTACTGTCCTAAGATACGTAAAAATTTCTATCCTCTTTTAAACTTTCAAGAGTACAAAGCTCACAAAGTGATTTAGGTCCTCTACAGGTGCTGCGCCTACTAGTGTCCCGGTAGTAACGACGTCGAGCTCAGCTCCTCACACGACTATAATCACCGTGACCACTACCCTGATGAGCTGCCCAATTAGCACTGGCCTCGGTGGGGGGAAGACTGGGGTTAAAAAGGACGACTAAGCAAACTCGGAGCACGAAGCCTGGACGAAGCCTGGAGTTACGCCTGGAGCTTCTGTGTCAGAGCCATGTCCGCCTGTGAGAGGGGGGAAGTTCGCGCTACTGAGTGGGTTTTGTCTGTATAGAACTCTAGAAATCTGCATTTTATTTGCTTTGATACATTAAAGTTCCTTTGAACAGTAACATAATTGCGTCGAGTAGTAACTAAGCCTCTTCGTGATGTCAATACTACCACAGAAAGAATAAGAGCAGCCTCAAATGTTGAGACCACATACGCGCAATGATTACCTAATTAGAGACAAGTCTGCAGGAAGGATGGGTACTTCTGTAACCCGTAAAGTTGGCAGCGCGTATACCGTATACGCCGAGCAAGGCAAAGGGCATAGCATGTCAAGTAAGCTTTACTACAAGTTTTGAGGCTGGATAAGGGAGTAAATGCGCCATGACCATAAATGAATACCCTGCCAGCGCAAACAACATACATGGAGGTTTATTGTATATAGCAACATCAAAGACTCCGCATACATTTCGGTGGCAGTTGCTCAATACAACTCTTTAACAACAAAAATTACCCCTTTACCTGTTCAACATACCACCGTAGACCTCAATCATCATGAGTCCTAACAGGAACACTTCTTCTCCCATTCCCATCGCCATTGTTGGCTCCTCCTGCAGACTTCCTGGTCAATCCTGCACCGCCTCCAAGTTGTATGACCTGCTGCGCGAGCCGCGAGATGTCCGTCGCAGCTTTAATCCAGATATTCTCAACCTGGACCGATTCTATAATAAGAATGCTGATGCACCTAGATCGACTAACATCCAGAACAAAGGCTACCTCCTTGATGAGGATAGTCGTGTATTTAATGCTTCCTTCTTTGGTGTCAGTCCATACGAAGCTGAGAGTATGGATCCCCAGCTCCGTGTCATACTGGAAGCCGTGTACAAAAGCTTTGAGAGTGCTGGATAGACTCTTGATAAAATACGCGGGTCTCAAACATTGGCCCATGTTGATGTAATGGCCAGCAACTAATATGACATCTAAGTCCGCGACCCTGAGACGGTTCCGATGCACGCCACCACTGGTGTGCATCGCTGCACTCTATCTTACCGGGTCTCATATGCTTTTGATCTTCATGGACCTTCCATCACCCTTGACACGGCTTGTTCAAGCTCTTTGGTGGCCCTACATCAGGCCGTCCAAGGGTTACAGTCAGGTGATGCTACATATGCTATTATCGGCGGAGTCGACCTGATCTTCGACGCGGTGCTCTACATCATGCTTTCTAACCTGCATATACTGTTACCTAAGTCTCAGTTAAGAATATGGCACAAGACTCCAACGGCTATGCCCGTGGTGAGGGTGTGGTTGTGGTTGTGCTGAAGCCTCTTAAACAGGCGCTTCACAACGGTAACCACATCGAAGCTGTTATTCGAGGAACAGGTGTCAACTCAGATGGAGCAAGCCCTAGGTTAACCATGCCTACTATTAAGGCACAAGCAGCCCTCATCCGAGATACCTATAAGCGTGCCGGCTTGGACCCTGTTAAGGACCGCTGCTAGTTTTTTTGATTGCCACGGCACAGGAACGCCTGCAGGCGATCCCGTCGAGGCTGGTGCCGTCTATGAGGCCATGATCAAAGATGCAGGTTCATCTTCTTCTCCCTCCGCAACGACCACACCCCTGTATGTTGGATCCATCAAGACGCTGGTCGGGCATCTCGAAGGAGGTGCTGGCTTGGGCGGTATATTGAAGGCGCTTCTCAGCATCAAGCACAAGACAATCTTCCCTAACCTTCTGTTCAATGAGCTGAACCCAAAAGTTGCTCCATTCTATGGACCTCTGCAGATTCCAACCTCAGCGCAGCCCTGGCCTGAACTGCCCCCTGGAGTGCCTATGCGCGTCAGCGTAAACAGCTTCGGCTTCGGTGGCACGAATGCGCATGCCATCCTGGAGGGGTTCGAGCCCAGCGATGTACAAAGTCTGGAGTCTGAAACAGCATCTGTACAAACTTCTGTTGGTCGCCCGAGTCCATTTGTTCTGTCTGGCCATTCTGCCTCGTCCCTTCTTGGAAACTGTAAGGCGCTGCTCAAGTATCTGATAGACAACGTGTCCGTCTCCCTGTTCGATTTGAACTGGGTTTTACACAGCAGACGAACGGCACATCGTCTCAGGACATTCTTCACTGCGCAAGCCTGTGAGGAACTGATTCAAGACTTGGAAAGGTTTGTCGAGCAGCATCGCAAGGCCACAAAGAGGGATGAATCGGCATTCGCAACCGACACATTGATCCAGATAAGCCATCACGTATCTTGGGCGTGTTCACCGGACAAGGTGCGCAGTGGCCAGCCATGGGTCGTGACTTGTTGGGTACCTCACCTCTGTTCCATCGTGTGTTGGAGGAATGTGAGGATGTTCTGCGCTCTCTTCCAGATGACCCAGAGTGGTCTCTGATAGACGAGCTATCCAAGGATGCATCTGTGACAAGGGTTCAATTATGAAGGCTTGGAGCAAAAGGGCTCAATTCAATAATAATCTCGTAGGATGTCAAAGGTCCTAAGTTACTACAAGAAAGGAAGAAAAGGGTGACCGCCTTATATACATAAAAGGAACGCCTAGGCCTAGGGTCCTTACCCGGGCACGTGTTCTAGCTGTGTAACTTAATAAGTCCTGTATCGGCGAAGCCCCTTTATTGGGCTTCACGATCTGTTGGGCCTTTTCCGTGTAACAGCATCCAACTCACGCGTGGGTAAAGCCGCCGTATCCCAGCCGCTCTGCACTGCTGTTCAGCTTGGCTTGGTGGCTCTATTCCAGAAGAGTGGTCTTAGACTGGACGTTATAGTCGGCCATCCATCTGGCGAAATTGCTGCAGCCCATGCTAGTAGTGTCATCGGCATCGCCACAGCCATGCAGATTGCCTACTACCGAGGCAAGCATGCCCATTTGGCTCGTGGCTCAAGCGGTGAGCCTGGTAGCATGATGGCCGTAGGCATAAGCTATGATGAAGCCAAGATGTTTTGCCAGCAACCAGAGTACCAGGGTCGCATTGGTGTTGCTGCTGTTAATGCACCCAAGAGCGTCACCTTGTTGGGTGATCTTGACGCCATTGAACAGGCAAAGGCACATTTTGACGACGTGCAAGTCTTTGCGCGTCAATTGAAGGTGGACACAGCCTATCATTCTCATCATATGGAGAAATGCGCAGCAAAATATCTGGAGTCTCTGAAGGTTTACAACATCCAGGTTCAGTCTCCTAGAGAGGATTGCGTTTGGGTGTTGAGTGTTCATGGCAACACCGAGTTTCTGAAAGATGACTTGGAGTCACTCAAAGGCCCTTATTGGGTTGCCAATATGGTGCAGCCAGTTCTCTTTGCTCCCGCTCTTCATTTTGCTGCTAAACTTGGTGACGAATTCGAACTGGCTATTGAGATTGGACCGCATCCTGCGCTCAAAGGACCTACAACGCAGACCTTGCAGAATGCTCTTGGCACATATCCTCCCGTGCACATTGCAACCCTGCAGCGGGGTATCAACGATACAGTCTCTGTTACAGATGCTGTTGGGTCTCCTCTCCTCGGTGCTACCTTGGCACTGACGCTGTTCGCTTTGACGGTTTCCAGAACGCCTTTTCACCAGTATCTTCAATCACACCCCGGGGTGTAAACGTCAAGCTGCTGAAGGATCTGCCGCCTTACGCATGGGATCATGATCGAATCTACTGCAGAGAGTCTCGCATCTCGAAGAACTTCCGAAAATCTCAGGATAGCCGCCATCCTCTACTTGGGCGTCGTGTTCCGGATGATACCAATCGGGAATTGCGTTGGCGTAACGTCCTCTGCCTGGATCAAATATCTTGGGCTCGTGGCCATGTCATTTCAGGAGAGGTTCTGCTCCCAGGTACATCGTACATTTCCATGTCTTGCGAAGCCGCCAAAGTCCCCGCGAGAGATAACCCAATCCGGCCGATTGAGGTGCTAGACATAAAGATTCGCCGCCCTGTGATTGTTCCTGATAGTCGCGAGGGTGTGGAAAGCACCTTTACAGTACGGGCGGAGGATTCGACAAACTCGGATTGTATTTCTGCAGATTTCTGTTTCTATTATTCTGATCTTGCTGGAGCCATGGAGCAATCATGCGATGGCAAGATTGTTGTCTATCTCGGCGAGGCCAGAAAACAGGAATTACCTCTTTACGGTGGCTCCCCTCCAGGCCTTTATCCCATTGATAGCGATGCCGGCTACAAGAGCTTTGAACAGAATGGACTTGGCTACACCGGACCTTTCCGCCGGCTGGAAGACATTCAGCGTAGACGTGATTATGCTATTGCGATGGCGGAGTGGTCAGTGGAAGAGTTGGGCGCGACCGAGTACACTGTTCATCCAGCACTGTTAGATGTCAGCCGGCAAAACGTGGTCCATGCTCGTGCTGACCCGGCAGTTGGCAATCTTCCCACGACCATTCTACCAGTTGGCATCAAACGAGTAGCTGTGAGTCCGAATGTGGCATTGGCAGATGGCGATACTCTCCGAGTCAAGGCGGACACATTCGTCACTGCCCGTAACGGGTTGGGTGTTGTTGGTGACGTGCACATATACAACGCATCCTCGGGTGACACTGCCGTCCAAATGGAATCTGTTTCACTTGATCCAGTCTCGCCGCAGATGCCACATCAAGATCATCGTCTGTGCTTTGAGATAGTGTTCAAGATTGATCCTTCCTTGCGCCTTCTGGAGCCGCCAGAGTACGACCTCGACTCCAAGAGCAGCCAGAGAACCAAAGAGCTTTCTGCAGACATTGGAAGGCTGTGTCTCTTTTACATTCAGCGGATCCTAGCAGATCTGGATCGGAAAGAGAGGCCAACTCTGATGTGGTATCACCAGATGCTGGTCTCCGCCTGGGATGCCACCATCAAGCTTGTCCAAGAAGGTTGCCATCCGGTGGCAGAGACCAGCTGGCTTGCTGATAAGTCGGATATAGTCGACAAGATTTTTGCCAAGTGGGGTAATACAGTTGATATTGAGATTGTCCGCGTTGTAGGAGAGAGATCTGTTGAGTTCCTAAAACGCAAAGAGTCCATCTTAGAGGTCCTCATGAAAGACAACATGGCTGCTCGTGTATACAGCGATGGGTGTGGTTTCGAATAGGCCAACGGCGGCATGATTGATGTTCTGAAGCAAATCTCTCACAAATTGCCCCGGGCCAATTACCTCGAGATTGGTGCCGGTACTGGCTCGATAACTGACCGCATCTGACGAACTAATTGGCCATTCTTTCTACACATACAACTATACAGACATATCCCCAGCTTTCTTTGAGTAGGCGGCCGAGAGATTCAGTGAATTTCAAGGCAAAACCATCTTCGGGACGCTTGACGTGGAGAGCGACGTGGAACTCCAAGGGTTCCAAAAGCACGCTTACGATGTCGTTGTCGCCTCAAATGTTCTTCATGCCACTGCCAGTATCAAGAGAAGCCTTGAGCAGGCTCGTTTGCTGCTTAAGCCAGGTGGCTTCCTCCTTCTTGTCGAGATAACGGGCACTGAGCTGATGCGAACTACATTCTGTGTTGGCGGCTTGCCTGGATGGTGGCTCCGCGCCAAAGAAGGACGAAACCTCTATCCCGGTCTGAAAACAGAAGAATGGCGCGCAACTCTTCAGCAGACTGGCTCTTCTGGTGTGGATTTGGTTGTCCATGATATTCCTGGACAGCAGTGCTACTCGTTCATCGCTAGTCAGGCCGTCAATGACACCGTCCAGCAGCTTCGTGATCCTCTAGAGTATATTGACGAGGTGTCTGAGGTCAAGTCTCTTCTCATAGTTGGTGGAAAGACACTCCCAGTGTTCAAGGCATTAACTACAGTCCAGAAGATGCTGGGGCAACCATGGAGGAACCGCATTACAGTCGCCAGCGATATTGAAACAATTGATTTCACCAGGCTTGGCTCTGGAGTCGACGTCTTGGGTCTGCAGGAGCTAGACAATGCCTTATTTTCAGAGTCTTTGACCGACAAGAAACTCAAATCCCTTCTAAAGATGTTTCTTGTAGCTCACAATATCCTGTGGTTGACCCACAACAGAAGAACAGACAAGCCCGCGTGCAACATGATTGTCCGTATGGTAACAAGTATTTCCAAGGAGCTGCCGCATCTAACATTCAGCTTCTTGATTTGGATTCCATCGCCAGCCCATCATCCACAGCTCATGTCATACTTGAGGCATTCTTACGACTGAATACCCTCTCTGCTCATGACTTTGATGTGGAGCCACTCTTATGGCCACTGGAGCCAGAGCTTGTGGTGGAGGGAACCGATACCCTTATCCCTCGTGTTCAGCCGGATCAGCAGAGAAATGATAGATACAACGCCAAGTTACGTATTATTAGCAAGTCTGTTGATGTCACAGATCTATCTATCGGTATTGTTAGCCAGCGGGGCAAGTTGGCGTTCGTTGAGTGCGACTCGAAGCATGACACAACCGCCCGCGAAACCGTGCGTGTCAAGGTCCAACTCTCCCTCTTTATACCTGGAAATGGCAGCAATAGAGGCGTATACCTTTTAGTTGGTAAAAAAATTGGCTCCGATGACTCTGTTGTGGCTATTTCTCAAAGCAACACGTCCGTCATGAGTTTGTCGCTGGAGTATGTCTCTCCCATTGAAGACAAAGACTGTAACACCACTTTCCTTGAGCAAATAGCAAACCAAATCATAGTAGATGGACTTACCAGAACTGCAGAAAGCAAGTCGTCTATTCTTTTACACAATGCAAGCGCTGACTTGACTGCATGCTTTGCTGCTGGGTCGAAAGTGCACGACTTGCAAGCAGTGTTTTCATCTTCGTTCACTTCTGAAGACCGTCATGGTTGGATCACTATTCATCCTCAAAGCTCTGCTCGCGCTATTCAGAGACTCTTGCCAAAGGACTTTGCTGTATTTCTAGATTGCTCACCAGTTTCTGCTTCCGCTTCCGCTTCAGATTCGGTAACAGCATCCATTCTAGCTACGCTCCCATCTGGTTGCACCGTCCATCGATGGGGCAGCGAGCTTACCATTTCTCTCATTCGACAGAAAATACCCCGTCTTGGTGGTGTAGCCAATGCAGCCATGATCTTGTCCGATAAGCTATTTATCGACATGGATGTAGATTCTATGAACGCGACCATCAAGCCCAAGGTGGACGCTTCGAAACATCTGGATTCTATTTTGGCGGATTACCCCCTGGACTTCTTCATCATGTTCTCCTCTGCACTCTCTGTTACTGGTGGCCACGGACAAGCAAACTATCACGCAGCCAACATGTACATGGCGGCGCTTACAGCAAATCGCAAACACAAAGGACGTACGGCGTCAGTCATGCACATTGGCCATGTGTGTGATGTTGGATACTTTATTTGTGCCGACATGATCTCCAAGGACTACGTCTCAAGAAGACACATGGGACCAATCTCCGAGGTGCATGTGCACCATGCCTTTGCGGAGGCTATCATAGCCGGTAAGCCGAATAGCGGGCAATCATGCGAAGTCGGATATGGAATTGAGCCGCTTGACACACGCCTGGATGGGGAGCAGGAAATGGCCTGGTCATCCGATCCTCGCTTTGCCCATTTCCTGCCAACAGTCCAAGTCGGAAAGTCCGAGGAATCTCAAGTTGGCCGTGGCGACATCAAAGAGCGAATCCACGGCGCTGAAACGGAGGCCGACGTGATTGAGATTGTCCAAGAAGCCCTTGTTTTCAAGCTCGAGTCATTGCTGCAGTTGTCATCGGGCAGCATTGATCCGGATGCACTGCTCACCAAGCTTGGCAGCGATTCTCTTGTGGCAGTTGAGATTTGCGCCTGGTTCCTCAAGAAGATTGGCATTGATGTCCCTGTTGTCAAGATTCTAGGAAGAAACTCTGTTAACCGGCTCTGCGTTGATGCAACTAAGAAGTTACTACAACAGTGGACTTGGGCTTGCAAGAATCCAAATCAGCTTCTTCAGACAGTGAAACACCAAATCAGTCTCGCGATAAGTCTGAACAGATGACTCCCCTTATCTCAGCAACGGACAAGGCCTCCTCCATCTCCCGTCAAGATGAAGATAGTGAGCGGCAACACCCCGGGGCGGAGATTGGCGACGAGAAGTCCCACCCCCGTGCTGGCACAGTGGAAGAAGAAGCAATCCCAGCAAAAGTACATCCTGAGTTAAATCAGGACATCATAACAATGGAACGTATGTCAGCAGCTCAGTCCAGAATTTTTGTGCTCGGAAATTTCATGAAGGATCCTACTGCCTATAGTTTAATGATCCGATACGACACTGTCAGCGAGCTCGATATCCATCGCCTGCGAGACGCCTTGACCACCACGATGCGGCATCACGACTCTCTTCGAACTTTCTTCTTCGCCCGCAGTCAAGATAACCAGCCGATGCAAGGACTCTTACTATTCCCCGTCCGTCGATTCAAACATGTCCCGTACGCCACCGACCATGATATCGAATAGGAGCTACAGGCTTCCAGAGACAAGGTCTGGGATATCGAGCACGGCGAGACGTTGAGCCTCACTGTCTTATCTCAAGCATACCTTGATCCTGGGCTACCACCACATCATCTTTGATGCATCTAGCATGCGACGCTTCATGCGAGATTTGAACTCGGCCTACAATATGCGACCGCTCAAGCGAGACTTTGGGACTTGTATAGAGTACGCTCGGCAAGAACATCAAGATAAAGAATCCAACATGCTCGAGAGCAATATGCAATACTGGCGAAAGAAATTCTCAAGCCAGGCCGAGGTACTCCCTCTGCTTCCATTGTCCAACAATACGATGCGTCCAGATTCACGGCATGTTTCCAGCTCCCACGCGGAGTGCATGATTGACGAGGAGACGGTGAAAGCAACCAAACAGGTATGCCAGGAATTAGGCATCACGCCCTTCCAATTCCATCTCGCGGTCGTTCAGGTGCTTCTCGCTCAATCTCCGGGCCGCCCCGACATTTGCATTGGTGTGGCCGATGCCAGCCGCCCCGACACCAAATACAGGGAAACCATCGGCTTTTTCCTCAACCTGCTTCCCGTGCGCTTTTAGGTTCCTGCTGAAAGCCCATCCACCGAAATTGCCTTGAATACAGCTAAGAAAGTGGGAGAAGCATTGGAGAGATCGGTTCCGTTCAAACATCGTTCTGGACGAGCTCAATATTTCTCGATTGTCGGCACGCACACCAATGTTCCAAGCTCTTGTTAATTACCGGCTGGCAATGACAAAAGAAGTTCCTTTTGGCACTGGCACACTTACCATTACTGACGGCGAAGAGGGCCGAAATCCATACGATATTACCTTCAGCTTCCTTAGTCACAAACTGGAGGTCTCGGGGTCACTTTGGACTGCTCCGCGTCAATCTATGACGCTCACGCCACAAATACACTTGTCAACATGTACCAGTTTGTCCTGAAGGGCATAGAAGCCAATGTGAATGTCAAAGTTGGCGAATGTCAAATCTATGATCCAAGTGTCGTCTCTGCAGCTCTGCAGCTTGGCCAAGGCAAGCAAGAGCAGTTCAGTACTGAGTCTAGGACTATAGCGGAAAAAATTGCTCAAATCTCTCAGACGTATCCAGGACGAGTTGCTACATGCGATCGATTGTCGAACTTGACGTATCAGCAATTGGCTGAGCGTGTGGAATCCGTCGCAGCTGCTATAAAGCAAATAGCAAGGGTATACTAGGTGCTACTTTTATTATTTCATATTCGGTAAAGGAACTTAATAATACAATTACTTTACTACCAGATATAAATATATTATTATATATAGTAATACTTTTAAGTATAGTAGTAATATGCACTTAACTATAAGTCGGACTAAGTGCATGTAGGGAAGCACCTATCTGCATCACATCAAGTGCACATGAATGTTTTCTTTCCCCGTCCTCAATAACCCATCACACAGCGCAGTCCTTGACTCATTGCATAGAGATCAAGCCTCGAATTTGCTAGTCAAGTTATGCCTTTTGTTTATCGTCGCCCGTGTTGGCTTGCCCACACTGCCTCTTGCAGTACTCGCAGGGTGCACAGCCATTGGTGCAGTCAAAGCAGAATCTGTTCTCGACCTCATCGCACGATACACTCGCGAATCCGGGGTCCCATTCGGGACCTGCATATATACATGTACTATTATTTTTGGCAGGGGTGGCGTCATCGATCTTAAAGTTCTCAGAGACCAGCCAGGCCTGCCTCTTGTCGTCGTCGCAAACAAAAGCGGCTTTGAACTCGCCAATACCAAGCTCGGCATTATTAAATGCAGCAACGCGAATTTCGTCATCGTTAATGATGTCCACGTATAATCGTGCCTTGTAGTCGGCCGTGTAGGGATTACTAGCGTCGGCGGGCCAGACGCCGGCCCAGGTCCTCACACCGTCGGCGCATCCGGGGTTCGGGGCATAATAACTGATAACGGTTCTGCCGTCTATTTGCGCCTGCTCTGATATCCTGTTTTCGGCTTCATAAAGTTGGCGTCGGTTGGCAGGTTTGCCGAGAGCTGGCTGCAGGGCGCCCAGCACGAGTACAACCGCGTTTGACAGGAGCATGGCAATAAAAAGAGTTGATATGCTTGATATGTGAGAAGAAGTTTGACTAGATTGACTTGTGATGGCAAGTAGAATTGCGAGGAGGGTTCGGACATGTTATATATGTTCGCAATGCGTAGCTATTTAACTTGCTTAAGAAGACTTGGCACTGGATTCGACCAGCCATTCTCATGAACCAATTTCCCTGACTCATAATTCTCTTGCGGGCTCGAGTGGCATGACTTGGTGGATCTATAAAACAAGTTACGTACTGTAATCTTGACCACGTGGATCGCTGGACCAGGGGTACATGCTTGCATAGTTTGACCTGGTCAAGGTTCTATGCATAACGATGAGATGGATGCGTCTTGGAACTCAGGGGTGCCGTGTTTATGTAATGCTGACTATCTGGCCTCCAAGCACCCTGGACGCCTGGCTATTGGATCAATTCTATTCTTTCTGGAAACATAACTTTACTATAAAGGAGGGGAATGGCGTGACTAGTGAGGCCATCTTATTAAATATGAGGCCGGCATAACTACAATAACGTTCAACCGGGAGTAGGTCTCCAGTGATAGCCCCCTAGAACCTCATGCTATAGACGCGTCAGCTCCACTATAGTTGCAGTAAGCTTGTGCTCTCCTTTACCTTTTCCATCCGCTTAAAACGTATCAGATTAGTCTCTAATAACCTTAGCGGTCGGCCTGGGAGTGGTTGCTGAGGGGCATTCGATCCAGAGGGATGGCAGCGGCAGGCACCAAGTCTCAAGTGGTCTCATCAGCAAGTACAGCACTAGGTTCACGGTTACGAGCCATGGCCGCGAGACGCGGCATGGGGTTGCGGACATCTAGCAGAATGTACATCGCTCTAATACGCATAATAGCAAGCATGGAACACACTTAATCTGATGCTGCTTGCTGGAAGACGTGTACGGTAAGCCCAGTTTCTAGCTTGATGTTTTTGTAGAATCTCGCTGATAGCCTTGACGCGGTTGATTATGGCCGAATATGTGAGAATATTGCCGAAGTTATCCATAACAGCAACCTAGGAATTAATTCCGGTTACTTAGATCTCAGGCTCGGGCCTAATACCAGTCAGTACAAATTCCACATGTCAAGTGATATTGAGTCTCTACTTATTACGACCTACTGCGATTTTCACGACCTCTCAAACCTTTAGTCAAAGAAGAGCCGTTTAATTCCCGCGAAAAATTTGGCGCAAAATCAGAGCCCAAGTTAATAACTAACTAGAACTAGGACTAAATATTGAGTGTGTTTTTTGTTATTAATAAATGTTCCGCTGGCTGGTTACTTAGCAGGCAAGTAAGACTCAGGTTCATCTTCTGGTAGCGCACAGTCCAGAATATAATTACAAACACGAATGGCATCCTCCTTGGCCTCTTGTTCCCCTAGGTCTTGCTCTCCTACTCGTCTTTCCCACGTAATGTCTAGAATAATCCAGGTTTGGCTTGAACCACTTGCATCATTTATAGCATCTGCTTGTTGGACTTTTAGTGCTATTTGCTCCGTCTTGCCCCAGCTGCGACACAGATGAACGACTGTAATGCCCTGGGCATTATCTGGTGTAGTAGAGTAGCACAACCACTTGTCCTCCATTTCCTTGGGGATAAAGCCATGGATCATCTTTTGTGAATCTGATTGCGATATGCGTAGGTTCCAAGAAGCTGTAACAGGGTCATGAATTGGCCTCGTGTCCCAATGGGCGTCGCGCGCCGTACCCGCGGTAGGTTGGGGTTGCGAGTTTGTGCTCCTCATGACAGTGGATTGAACTTGAGTAGATGTAGTTGGAGTTGGAGTTGTAGCTGTAGTTGTAAATAGAGTTGTAGTAGTAAATAAAGTTGTAGTTATAGTTTATAGAATCTGGTGCTAGTAACTACCAAGTCTAGTGTCGGTTCTTTGGCAGCTGTTATTTGCGTCGAGATAAAGTCTGGGCCTGCGAATACTCGGCCAGACTATGAATTTATATAGCACTATAATCACCCTCGGCGCTGTATATATGAAACTAATATTTGCCCTTAGCGCCAGGCTGCATAACGTAATAGCAGGTCATGTATAATGTCAAGGGTAGCCTTGGAATTGTATTACGGGCAGACGCATTTATGCGCCAGCCGGCAGTTAAAGGTGGGGCGACCACTACTCGCACGAGTCCGTCAAGGTGTCAATTAGTCCAACTCTATGTACTTTATGACTCTATCGGTAGTTGACTATTTACACAACATGATTCAAGGCTAGCCTCCTATCAACGTGTATTTAAGGCTATCTTAAGCATAATATTAATGCTATTTACCTATCTCTTGATATAAATACGTAAAATATTATATTTTGAGTATAATCTTTATGCTTTTTACTACATCTTTTAATGTAAATGCATTAAATCTTATATATTAAGTATAATCCTGATGCTATTTGCCATGTCTTTTAATATAAATGTATTACTTTTTTGCTGATTACGTAGTGGAGAACAGCATTACGTCTATACGACCACGTCCGCCTCATATATTAAAGGGCTATATCGCGCGCTTGCCAAGGCTATTCCCTGCATACTTTTCATGCACCAGTAAACTCTAGTCCAAGACAAGAGAGACGTGTCATTTTGTTATCAGTCTTTACTTTTTATTTTGCCCATTGAGTTGCTACGCCGGTGCACGTGGGCGTCATGTATAAGCAATTTCTCAACATGAGGGACATGCATTATGTTCGTAAAGGCAACATCATGACATGATATGGCATTACTACTCACTTGTAGCATGAAAGAATCCCAGGGTTTCGTAAACAGCCGGGTTATTGTGTAATCTGGCAGACAAGTCCAAAGCTCCCAAGATGAGCCGGTCAACCAGACAAGAATCTCTATAAATTGATGGGTAAACCAGTCTCTAGTTTGCATCTTTTTACACAGGTGAAGCAAGTAGTCTTTCGCTTATCAGCCGATTCCATTACATCTCCTTCTCAACGTCCTTGAAAAAGTAAAAGCATCAACTTACAATGAGGCACCAGTGGCTCTGGGCAGTGGTCCCGTTGTTTCTAGGACAAGCCTTTGGCCATCCTAACGACGCAGCAGGAAAGATACATGTCCGTGGGGGTTCTCAGTCAACCCAGAAACCGCCAGCCGACGTTGAACTTCCTGGCGACCCACCAAAATTTGTTTTTCGAAGCGATGAAAGACCTCCCAATACTGTTAAATAAGCCGGGGGTTTCTTCGACAGGGGCCACGGCATGGATCTATCCGGAGAGGAGTTGGAAAGAACCAGCAGCTTGTACTTGCATATCGACGGAACTAATGCCCAAATCACGAGATATGTTTCAACCACGACGAGCCCCAGAGTGGCGTTTGAGTTCCCATCCACAGATGTAAAGAGATACATGTACCGAATCAGCGCCGACAGCAAGATGGTTGATGGCCCCAAGACCCTAGGAAAGTGGATAAGGAACGGCTACGAGGCGCAAAAGGAGCAAGCCGTGGTCGAGGGTCTGCCTTGGGACCAGGTCAAGGGTTGGTATGACGTGTCAAAACTTGATGCCAAAAAGGTAGAACGGTTGGAAAACGGCGAGAAGCTCGAGGAACTTTTCGAGGCGAATCCAGAGTTCAATCCAAAATACGAACCGCTGCACGGCAGTGGGGAGGTACCCAAGCTTGCCGGGTTTCGATCGAATTCTGATGCATGGGGTGAACAGCCGTGGAAGGCGTTCAAAGACCAGAAGGTGTCCAAGTCTTTTGATGAGTTTGTACAGGCAATCTCGGCCGGCTCGGGTACGGCTTCCAAAGGCGAAGAGGCACAAGGAGAGCAAGACTCCCCCAAGGGTGACGAGGCAGAGGCCGGTGCTGGCACGAGTAACAACGCAGAGTCTGAGCCTAGGCCCGAGTCAAACCGACGCGACTTCAAGAGTGCTTGCAGTGGAAACGCGCTCAAGAGAGCGATTAGCTGCACCAAGGTTGAAGAGGCAAAGCTGTCAGAAGCCAATGACCTCAAGGCGAAATACCTAGCAGAAGGGGACAAGGGCCTGATTGAATACGAAAATAAGCACTTTATCGCGGCCGGCCTTAAGCAGCTCGCCAAGGACGACGTCAAAGTACTGAAAAAGCTGCTGCCTGCAAAGGCACAGCTGTTTACCATGGATTTCGTGCTGGCCCTTGATAAGGATAGTCCACCCTTTTGGAAGGCTCTTGTTGACGGCCTGGAGAATAATGAGTTCACGTTATCAGACTGCCAGATAGGGTTTAAAAAGGCACTGTCCAAGACAATTGATAAACAATACACGGAATTCGACTCACCCGAGCACGCGCTTACGTCACTAATCAATATCGGAACGGATCTATGGGACACGGTGGAAGCCGCTTTTCCTGTCAATTTCTGGATGGACTTGGTCGAGGAGCTGCCGACAGAATGCAGAGACATTGCTGCGGCAACGATACCAGAGGAGAAGTTGAAAGTTGCCAACGAGGGAGTAGACACGCTGATTCAAGCCTGGTCCAACCTGACGCCGCTGGGCAGGGCAAACGATCGCTGGACAGAGGACAGCGTTTTGCACCCCGAGATGACTACGGGACAAAAGATTCTCGATGTCATGTACGATACGTTTACGCATTTCTCGGTATTTGGTTGGGTATTTTCTTTGGCATTTCCTGATGTGGCGAAATCAATCGCCAAAATCCCAATTAAAAGGATAGATCAGCACAGCTACTGGGAAGTATAAAGTACGCGCTGAATCCGATCGCGATGGATTCTAACACTTTCTCGCTTTTTTATTCTATTTCACAGTCGGGCCATGCTCAACCTAGGTCAGCCTGTGAGGGGGGACGTGTGTTAAGATAAAGTTACTTATTTAGGCAAGGGCTATCAAGTATCTTACTTTATATTATTCTACCCTTTATATATAAAAAATAGGAGTTTTTAACCTATAAGCCTTGTTTCCAAAGTAACTCTTATATACTAATAGTAAAAAGCCTCTAGCAAGTTGATTTGATTTATAAGTTTATATATTATTTACTACTAAATATAAAAGTTTATTTAGCTAAAAGCTAACTTTTTATTATTTTATAAGTTTTTCTAATATAAAAGTTTAATATAATAAGTTTCTTAAATTTTAATTAACTTATATTTTATTAAATTAATATAAAAAAAATAAAAAAAAGGCTAGTTAATTACTAGGATCTACTAGTAATATAATTAATAGCTATATTTAGCTAATATAATAATAATATATAATTTAAAAAATAATATATATATTATAATATATTAAATTTACTAGCTTAAAAGGTGATTTATAATTTTATTTTTCATTTGTGGTTGATTTGCTTTATAATCAAATAAAATTACATGTATAATACAAGTATCGTGCAAGCGTAAAATCCAATAATAATAAAAAAATATTATTAAAAGCTAAAAATATTAAAAAAGTTAAAAAACTAAATAAAATAATAAAAAATATAAGAAAAAAAGAAAAAATAAAAGGAAAAATTAAGAAAAATACTATAAAAGTAATTAATAAAAAGTAGCTTTATATTATAATTTTCCCTCTTATTATAGAGAGAACTTATATTTTATTAAATTAAATTAATATAAGAAAAATAAATAAAAAAGGCTAGCTTATTACTAGAACCTACTAGTAGTATAATTAATAATTATACCTAACTATAAAATTACAGGTAGCTAGCATTACTTTCTAGATAGTATAGGCAATTTTACTATAATAATACTTAGGCTTATAATACTAGCTACTTAGAATATATTAGTAATTTTTTATTTAAATAAATCCCTTTTAGAAGAGGTAAAACTATTATAAATTTAAGCTAAAAGCTTAAGTCTAGGTAGAAGCCTAAGTAAAGCCAGATTAAACCTTATATAAATAAACTGTAAGTTAAAGTAAAGTATATTGAAAAAAGGTTCTTTTTTTTTAAATTTATTTATATTATTTAATAATATATATATATAATTATAAGTGTTAGTTTTATAAGGGATTAATATTACTAGTAATAAAGTATAAATTATATATATTTAAAGGTTTAAGGAAAAAAAAGTTATTGAGGATGCAGCTAAGAATGAAGGGATTGATAAGCTTCTTTGTACGTGTGAGTATGTTGAGGCGAGTTGGGAATACCCGCAACTAAGAGGTGGTTCTCCGTCTGCTAGTGCGGAATCGGACAGGATGTGCAAATTTTTTTTTCGCAGCGACCAATATGGGGAGTTGCGATGGAGAAAGGGGCTCAACGATCTCTTGGATGCTTGTTCTACGATGGAGACGAATCCGGAGCCCTCGGGGGATGAGGGCTCTCTGAAAAACGCCAAGGAACGCTGTACCGCGCTGCAAGCTCAAGTGGACAAGGTAGAGAAGGACGCGAGAGGGCCGGTGAAGAGGGTCCCAAAAGTGAAGGTGGGAAGTTACAAAGTAAGTTGTGTTGTGTTGCGCAATACATACAGGCTGCTAACCGCAACTATAGTGTGATGCCTATAAGTTGTCAGCATATAGCACCCACTGCGGCAACAATTGTCGGGCTTTTTATGCCCTAGACGGTTGGCGTCTAAACGTAACGGGAGAGCAACCGCCGAAGGACAAAGTCCAGAACAAGACACAGGAGAACCCGGACCCCTGGGCGTATGAGAAATTTCGAAACAGTGTGGAAGGGTACTGTGCCAAGGTGCGAGCATAGATAGAGGAGGTATCGCCAGAGACATTGGAGGAGTTGGAGGATCCCGCCAAGTTTGAGAAGGACAAGGAAGGCGAGGACGCGGGAACTAAGCTGAGTGAGGATATACCTGCTAGACGACAGCTATCTTGACATGACTTGTGGTTAGATGGTGGTGACAAAAGTTGTCTGGTAGATTTGCAATCTTTGCGTTACGATATCGTGCTCGTGCCCTCGTAGATGTCAGTCCCCTGTCGTCAACTCTATCGACGTAGGCCGCATCAATGCCACCGAGTTAAAAGCTATGGAGAAGATCGGGGAGTGTTGCGTTTTAGAGCCGTTTCTCTCTCGCTCGCGCGCTCTCGACAGTTCACAGGATACAATTGGCACCAAAATGTAGGTTAGTGCTGTAAACATGGCCTCTATGCCAATGCTGAGCATCGAGCCAAGGTCATCCAAGGGCCGACTATAAACATGACAAGCATCTGCGAGGCCTGGTTGGTGACCTAATCTATGCAGATGCTCTCCAGGATCTAGCTACTGTCTACATAGCCAACACTCAGGGGCAGATTGTGAGACTTTCATTTGGTGGTGTTCTTGCATCGACCTCAGCCGAGTGCATCTCCACGGCCCAGCCCGTTGCAGCCTCCATACCAATGCCAGGCATCTGCGCGACCAGAATGGTGGCCTGATCAATAGGGAACATTGAAATCAAAGTTAGTCCTAGGCTAGTAGCTGTTCAACCTTGACATACCCGTGCGAGCCGAGAACGGGCGCTCCAACCACCGTCAAGGTCACCTCCCCACCCGATAGCGCGTCCGAAACCCCCGGCACCCGCTAGGACAGGGTCAATGCCAATGGCTTCATAGTGTTCACCTCGGCGATTTTGCCATCTACAGGGACCCTGTGCTAGATCTGACCCGGGCTCTAGAGGTGTGGTCAGTGCTAACTGCTGCTGATAAACCGTAAAGATTGGATTCGGCCCCCGGCGCTCGGATGAGCATTTCATCTGGGTATCCCCGCTTCCCCGGGAGCCCGCCGTGCGGGGTAAGAATCCTACCTCCGCATTTTCGGAGGTGGGGTAGATTTACCGTACCCAGTGGACAGAGCGCGAATAGAACGGCTAAGCTGGTCTGGACCTTTGTTGTTTGCCGTCGTGGCAGCCGCCGAAAGGTGTACTAGCTCACTGGGGGTTGTGCCCCGGAGGATGTGTCGCCGTAATGGTCGACGTCGACCGCCCAAGTTGGCCGGCGAGGAGGAAAGGAATCAAAGCTCGTGGTTAGGTTTAAGTCGGTCACAAATAAAACATTGTCCTTCCCAGGCCTTGATCCAAATATATGGTTCCCTACACTCTTCATCACCCAGCGTTGCACCGTCGAATATACTTGGGCATTTTCCAAAAGCTTTGGAGTGAATCTTCTCTCTCAATCTCGGGCAATAGAAGCTCTCTTGCCACAGTTGACACGATTCAAGATGAACTACTTGCTGTTATTTTATATGGTTGCCAATCTGATCGTGACGGCTGTTGGCGGCACAGTTCCACGAAATCCATCTGTCAGGTCGGACCTGCTCCAACCGAGTCAAGACCCGTTTTATGCTGTTCCAGATGGTCTTGACGCAATAAAGCCCGGTACAATTTTAAAGCACCGGGCTCCTCCTTCTCCCATTGCTGCTTTCAGTGTCGCGGCTCTTAATCTCAAGGCCTCTCACCAAATACTCTATCGCACCACTGACAGCCTGGGGGCCGCTACCGCCACAGTTCTTACTGTTCTGATGCCTCACAACGCGGACACCAGCAAGATACTCTCCTACCAGATCGCCGAAGATGCGGCGTCAATTAACTGCGCGCCATCCTATGCCCTCCAGCTCAAGTCCGCTACTGGACCTCTGCTGGGCACACTCGTCACACAAGCTGAGCTACTACTTGTTGAGGCTGCCCTGCAACAAGGTTGGGTGGTCATCATACCGGATTTTCAGGGATCCAAGGGAGCATATCTCGCGAATAAGCTCGCGGGATACGCAACCCTGGATGGTATTCGGGCAGCCCTGAATTCCGCGTCCTTCACCGGCATCATGGCAAACAGCTCCAACCTCAAGATTGGAATGTGGGGATATTCCGGTGGCTCTCTTGCCACAAATTGGGCAGCCGAGTTGCAGCCAACCTACGCTCCGGAACTGCGCATAGCCGGGGCAGCGGTGGGAGGCACCATCCCTAACATCACCACCGCGCTCACAACAATCAACGGCGGCCCCTTTACCGGCTTTATACCTGCAGGGATCCTCGGCCTGGCCGCTCAATATCCGGAGATACAGCAAGTGTTGGACCAGCATCTCAAGCCGCAGTTTGTGGATAAATTTCACGCCGTCCTGAACCAGTGTTTGGTGGCGGATGCAGCCGACTTTTTATTTCAAGACGTCATTGGCATGCTGGATGACCGAAATCTCGTTCAGACTAATCCGATCGCGGTCCGGATCCTCGGCGAGAATGCCCTGGGGCGGGCAACACCCAAGATACCCTTTTTCTGGTACAAATCTGTCTTGGACGAGGTTAGCCCTGTTGAGGATACAGATGCTTTGGTGAAGAAGTACTGTGCCCAAGGCGTGACGATAGAGTATCAGAGGGATCTTGCATCTGAGCATGGCAGCTGTGCCGTTGTCGGTGCACCCAAGGCCTTGTCTTGGCTCAAAAATGTCATGAATGGCAAAAGCCCGCAGCCTGGATGCTCCACCAAGACTGTCTTGACATCGCTGATTGATCCTGCCACTGTTCAGGTTGTCCCCGGATATATAGTGAAGCTACTGCTTGATTTGTTGGGCAAGCCCGTCGGGCCTCTTCTGTTTGGATAAAGCGCAGTCTGGAATGGGTTCAATTCGTCGGTTCTGGGTATATTGGGCAAACCTGTGCCAACACCACATGTCACTCATCCCGGAAGGAAGCTGTTGTCATGACAATACAGTTGATTTCAAAGCATGTAGTTCTCGCGTGATTGCTGTGCCACGTTCAAACGTTCAAATCAAGAGTCTCTCGTTAGCCCACGGACTGGGGCATGTCCTGCCAACCGTTTCTCATTTATCCTAACTGTGGTGTTGTGTGATGTGTTGAATTGTATGTAAACCTGTCGAATTAGCATGTATGGCTCTACATCAGTTGCTTGAGGACTTGGGGAGATATGACCCACGTTTAACAATACAGAAGAGGTATTTACACTGTCAGCTACAGGGCAATAACAGATGCGATGGAAATGTCTTCTTCAAAACCTGTCCTGCCGCTCGCTGCCTGGCAGATAAAAGTGGCCCCATCACCGCTGGTTTGGTTTGGCAGTTTCCACCCAGGAGAATTTCTTCAGGGTAGACAATGTGTGCACAGACTCTCTGAACAATGCGGCGTCCATGGATGGGTGTGGAGTTTGTGTCCCGGAGTTACTTCTCGTTCAGGGTCAATGCCCTGCATCTTCCAGTGTAGCGGGTCTTTCTCAAAACTCTATTATCATCACATGTCTGGGCATCGAAGAATAGTGGGATATGTAACGTTGCTGGCCATGTACAATGTAAAGGAGGGCCAGTTGCCTCACACGTGTGATGCAATAGAAGCACACCAGACCCTACACCAGAGCATCCCCTAATGCAGTTGCACTTATCAACTCTCGGCTCGATGCCGACGCTACTACTTCTCCTTCGCTGCCAAGTTCTGCAGGCGTCCCTTCAACATGACTTGATAAGCAGAGGCTGAGTGTGAGGATTCAATCGAGTGTATTGACAGCTGGTTACGTGACTACTGGGAGTATCTGAAGGGGAAAAAAGAATAAAACAAACGAAAATCAGAACACAAGAGACAACCCGCTGTAAGCGCTGGTCAGACAGTCCATCGCAAGGCGAGCCACACAGATTCCAGTCCGTCAGTGTTGTAGTGTTGTGATCCAAGAGGCCGAGCAGGCGACTGGCAATGAACAACATGGTCATGCAGTTACTAGTTGAAGGCAAGCACCTTTTTGAGAATGCCTACTACGAGTTGAATAGCCTGCTGAATACCGGGAACATCTCGAATGATGACGCCAACAACATCGAGCAGACCAAGCAAAGCCTTCCCTATCACGGTGCCAATTGCAATAAGAATGCTCGCTTCAACTTGTCAGTCATATTCCACAGCCATCCCGTATTTAGTGCTCTTACATTGATTGAAAACATCCAAAGCCTCGACAAACAGTGAAGCGATATTTGTCGTAATATCGATCAGAACCTTGGCAATAGCCGACGCATCTTGGAGAGGTGGAAAACCAGACACTTGTCTCTTCGGAAGTTGAGACCCAGAGGCAAGTTCGTGAGTGGTGTGGTTCACAGACGCTATAATCCGATTAAAGGCATCGTTGACAACTTTTACGGATGACGCATTTCGCGTTTCTATGGATTGGGCCTTTAGAGATGATATAGCGGACCCTGTGTTATTGTTAGCCGGGTCGTGTACAAGTTGAAGTAGCTCTGATGACCATACTAATAATCTCCATATCCTTCGTGGTATCATTCTGCAAGTTTTTCAAGGCCTTCAATACAATCCCGGACCTCTGACTAGCGCTTCCCGAAAGACTTTGCGCGATGGTTACTCCTTGTTTTATTAGCTTGGTTCGGCTATGCGTACAAAGGGCAAATAATCGCATACCTATACAACAACAGAGTATGCCCAAAATATACGGGATTCTCATGTTTAGTTATTGCAATATATACACGTAGATATATAAACGAAGCAAGTCCTGGGAAGCCAAATAAAATTAAAGGCGGGATAAGATAATAAACAAGAAAAGGCCTACAAGGTAGGTAAACCGCACTTGTATAGAAAGCTATAGCTTATAGAGACACTCGAATATGACCGAGGATTTGTTGGGAATTTATAGCCCACCAAGGGTAAACGCTTCATCGGATTGACGGATTGTGTGGACAGCATTTGGGGTAACACCAGAACCCCTCTGGTAGCGTCGCTGGCGGTAAATCCCCAGAAATGAGCCTGGCCTGACTAGATATTGCGGGGTAGCAGATTGTCCTTCTACCCCGCATCAAACTAATCAAGTCAAGAGGAGTCCTGTCTTTTTGTGTTTCGACGTCGACCACTGCATTCCTCCGACTTGAGTTACATTCTGAGAGACACAGACCGGCCCCCATGGCCACGTGCCCAAGTCTAAAGTTTCAATGTTGGTTTTCATATCATTGAACCTGGCGTCCGGCACAGGGGCCTCTGGTTCTAACAAGAAGAAAGGCTCGCCTGGGTGTGCCAACTTACATCCACGGGTTTCTGACACTGGGCGGCCCTCCGACATGGAACGTGAGATGGAGATATAGAGCATCGGCTATAAATGACATGAGGGCGCTGCCTTGCCCACTGCTCCCAAATATCCTTTTCTATTCCATCTAAACCCTAACCCGCGTGATGGTGTCCTCATGCATGTGGATCCTGCTATCTGGTCAACCGGGTACAACGTCTGACCAAACTTGGGATATTTGTTCAGCGCGACACATGGTAATTCGATTGGCTTTTATGAGGATTCCCAACTGAGACGAGGTCACTGCGCAATTCCGAGCGGTAGATGGTGTCCGAGCACAGCCTCGTTAGGCTATGCAACCACGTCGAGCTGCTGAATCAGACTGCACGGTATTTGGGAATAATTGCCTCGCTTTTGGATTATTTGAAAACGTGGGATATAACAATCAGTATCCAACAGTATCCGATATCGATTCTCTGTCTTTCCATCTTCTATTGCGTACTGCACGCTAGGTAAACAAATCATTCATGACAACTGCCCGAGGTCAATCCACGTCACCTTCAATGCCTCGCCGGTTCTATTCACGGGCTCCTGTGGCTTGCAAATATTGCCGCTGCCGAAAGGTGCGATGTGATATCTCGTTATCGGGTATACCATGCGGCAATTGTGCTGTAGATGGTGTTATATGCGAGACTACACAGAGGAAAAGACGAATGTACCTATTCGACCGTCGTTTATGCATCTTGGTTCCAAGATTAAGTGCGGCTAATTTAATGTAGAAATCCATATCAACTGTCCATCACGCCTGACTGCCAACAGGGCCCCACGGCATTTCTATCACAAGGACAAAGCAACTGCGGTTATGAAGGGGACCGCGGCGTTTCCAAGCAGCTATGTAATACAAGTCTTCAGACCAATAAGATGGCAAACGGCGTGACTTGTATAGAGACTGGTATTGCATCGGAGCCTTCGAGAAATAATATGACCATTAGAACTCATAAGTATTACATCAGTACGACATGTCTGTTTAACCTCAAACCTTGAAATTCCATGACTTATAATATGTTTTTTTTAGGTGACAAAGGAGAATCTCCTGCTTTATCTAAGAATATTTGCCCTCATGATCACTTTATATCTCTCGGGCACACTTTCCTACTCGTGTCAAATAACACGGCAATTGACCCCGAAGACTTCACCTATTTGCGGCAAAAAGGCTGCTTTAGCTTACCATCACGGGAGATGCAAGACATGTTGATTCGCACTTATTTTCACTATATACATCCCTTTGCGCCGATTATCAACGTCCCTGACCTTTTATATCAATATATAACTGGACGGCCAAGTTTCTTATTACTTTGGAGTATGTTTGCCGCGGCAGGGAATGTGAGCTAATCCTTTTGCCATTTCAGGAACATAAACCATGGACTAACACCCTTGTAGTTTGTTGACGAGAAGCTGCTGACCGGGGAGCTCGGGTTCACGAAAGCAGAGCTCAAGGCAGAAGCGTCCGAACGGGCCATGGTGCGACCGCCGACGTGTCATTACCTACGCGTAACTAGAAATAGCTAACATGGAAAGGCATTGTACGACTTGGAATACGAGAAGGAGACGATGACTATTATTCAGTCCACGTACCTGATGAGCTACCACCTTGGAGGCATTAATGCTGATAGAGGACCGTGGTATTGGATAGGCATTGCTATTAATCTGGCTTATGGTGCTGGCCTTCATCGCCTCTCACCCTGCGAATTACAGACTTGTCCAACCTGCCATTCACGCCAGTGGGCACAACTTTGGTGGAGTATTTACTGCCGCGAAGCGTGGCTCTCCCTCGCCTATAATCGCCCGATGCGAATACAGCTGGATGAAGTATCAACAACCGTTCCAACCCAAGTCGAAGTCGCATCCATCTGCATCGACATTTTCGACGAAAGGTATCATAAATATCTACCTCGGGAAATTGACGATCTAGTTAGTATGTGGTTATACCTCGTCAGAATCTCACTTACTCTAGGCGATATTTTATCCAAGTTGTACGCGTCAGAGTCCTCGAGGCCGACACAGCAACCAATAAACTACACCGAGGACGATGTTGGGGCGCATCTATGCGAATTATCCGATGAGAGTCTTGGGAGCGAGCTTATAAAGGTGCATCTGTACCAGCTTCGACTTTATCGCGAGTATGCCGTTTTCCGCCACAGCCGCCCCAATCTCGGTACTAATTTTCCATTACAGAACAACCGTGATTGCCTTGTACCACCCGCACGTCCAGGGCCTGCAAGATTACCAGTCAGAGGAGCACCAAAGCTAACTCTGGAAGCTGTGCTTCCAAAAATCGCGTGCGGCAGCACTTCGCACTACGCACCTGATTAACACGATGATTGGGGAGGGCCTCACTGGAAATATTCACATGCTTACGTAACAATTCAACTACTCCCTTCATCCATTATATAAAAAGTAGGGAGTGAGTAATTGACCAGACTACAGTGTTATTGCGATTATGCCTTCAATGCAAATCTACCTCGCCGACCTGGCGTCTACGAACCAACTTATAAGGCAATCAGGGGAGTATAACTTGCGCTTGTGCATGACTCTCCTCGATATTCTTCGAACAACATATATATATGCCGAGGAGATGTATTGTTCATTCAGGAAAGCAGTTGACAAGCCCAACAACAAGTTGCTGCATAGGCCGCTTTTTGAGCCCATGTCCGGTCTGTGGACGGGATCGGAGCAAGAGAGCATTACCGCTAGTCAACCCGGTTTCCTTGCCGGCGAGGAGAATGGCGAAACAATGCCGGCTCAACAACTCTATTTGGATGTTCTGGGGATGGTAAACGTGCGAATAATGGGGCTTATGCGTGGCCGGGGCCCGAAGGCGAGAGAGTGTAAACCAAGCTATATCGGGCTCAGCCCGTTACAACCTGTCACGTTATAAAACTTATTATTAACTAAGCTTATTTATAAAATTATTTTTCTTCTTATTATTTTCCTTTTTACCTATAAAAACTTAAAATATTTAATAATTTTAAAATACTACTACCTCTAGGTAATAGTATAATAACTATTATTTTTACTTGCTACTCTGGTGGTAAAACGCTTGCTTGTTTCAATCAACAAAGGCAGTTTTATCCGACATAACCACTTCTGTGTCATGCCAACTTCATCAATGAAGCCTTTGAACTCAACATAATAAAGCGGCACAACAACGCCGACAGGCTCATCATTTCCTAATCGTCGTTAATAGATCGGCATCTCGCAGCGGACTGCGTCAACGATTTGGGGATGTCTGGAGGTTGCGGATGGATTACGGCGAGGCTTTCATATTTCATGGTCCACAATAGCACATTTCGCGGAACCTTGCAGTATTCAGATATTAGATTCCTGAGGTGGCAAAGCTAGAATGCCGATACATCTACCACGTATACCTTTATTTCCAGAATACTTAGTACTCTTAAAAGGGAATTTTAAGGACTCTATCCTACGCGATAACTGCAAAACCTTTCATAAAAGGACAACCACAAGCCAGTCAAAATCCGTCAACCGCAGTTCTGCGTTGTGATCGTCATGAATTGATGAGTTATTCAGCCGGCTGCATACTTACCACCACTTGGCAGTCGGGATTTCGCGAATGACATTCGACGCACAATGGACATCGCCATACGTAGTATAGTGCGTGAACCAGTCATCTATATAGCGAACCGTATAGTTGGCCTTGGCGTAGGCCGCATTCACCGCAGCGGATAGCACATCCTGGCCGTCGATTACAGGTCCCCATGGGTTTGGGGCGAGAATCTGCCTATTGCCCAGAACAACGCTATTAATAGTGCTAGGGTAAAGGGCAGCGGCTTCCCCATTGGCCTCTTCTTGGCGGCCCTTCAAACTCCTTGCTGGTATGTTTGCTGGTTGCTGCTCTAACACCCGGGGGGGCGTGCCGGCTTCTAGAGCGTTGAGGATTTTGGTGCCGACATCTTCCTCGGGAACATCTGCTAGCCGTTGCCCCTGTTGCTCTCCAGACTCCCTGGTCTCCTGAGCGGGGACTCGGCCGCGAATCTGGCGGCGCTTGTTACCATCTGCTTCCTGCCCATATTGCCAAACCTCGCGATCGTATACTTGGTAGAGAGAAGGAATGCGAATAATTTCCGCGTCGGTAATGCCCGTCTCCCGCTTAATAGCGTTGACGCTTTTCTCAATATTGCTGGCGCAAGCGTCCTGGAAGCCGGCAAAGTTAGGGGTGTTCAGCACATCGTTAATAGTATTAGTAACGCGCCATTTTGGCGGATCAAGATCCGACCGGGGACGGGAGACGGCAATAAGTTTACCGTGGCCGGCTAGCTGAGCCTTCTGGAGTATCTCAAGGCCTGCACGCGGATTATTTACCATCATGACCCAGCCGCGCTTGCTTTAAACAGGGAGAAATTGTATAAATTCATCTGTATGCTTAACTTTAAGCCACGAGGTGTCAAGCTCAATTGGGGCTTGCGTCTCTTGAGCCTCTAAGAAGGCCATCATATATGGTTTCTTTCTACCCGCTGAACCCATTACAGTTCGTCCCGCAGCATATGACTTGCCATTATATGTATAGGGGGGGATAGTCTCTAGATTGCCTAGGCTGTCGAGTGTACCACCGCGGCCTGGGGTCTGAAGAGCCCCTACTATATTCGACCTTAGTTCTTGGAAAACCTTGCGGCCGGCGGGGCGGTCGGCCTGAGCAGACCGTATCATGATGCGTATGCTAACTAGGCCGCTAGGTCCAGGGATGCTCATATAGCCGGGCTCGAAAAAATCTTGAGACCAGATGTCAAGACCTGAGCTAAATATGCACTCAGAATTCTCGAAGATGTAGAGGGGCTTCTTTAATCCTGCTGTGCTAGACATCTCTCCGAGGTCCTTGACAAAGCCTGCCAGTCGTGGATGACCGGATGCTGTCAGTAATTGCTCGGCGGACTGGCCATAATGCTGCGTTAGGACTGGGGCAACACGAAGCGCCACCGAGTCCTTGGCCTCCCTTTCCCCGTCCTTAACCCTAAACTCCACAGTTACTCTACCGTCCCATCCTCCCGGACGGCGAACGTCACGAGCGTCAATGCCAAGCTCTAGACCGGCCTTGAGATCTAGGGCCTGAAAGGTGTAATTTGACGTGACAAAAGTCCATTGGCCACCCGCTTTATAGAAGAGACGAACTTTGGAGGCAGCGGTCTCGTCGAATACGGTAATAGAACCCGTGGCCGAGTCGCTGAGTCCGGGATTTGGCACGGTTCGAAGAGGCGCAAGGTATATTGAGTTACGTAGCACATTATCAGAAGAATCGTGGCACTCGGATATCCGCAGATCGTTGACCTCTTTAGGCGCGTCCCAAAATTCACCAAGCTTCTTCAGATACTCATTGTACGTAGCTTTGTCACTTTCGCTCAGAACTTTGAGCCACTCCGAATCTGACTTTTCTTTTCTATTGCGTTTCTTCGCTGCGAGCTCTGGGTCCAGCCTTGGCGATTTAGGTAACGAGGTCTTGGGAAAGATGTCGCCCAGCTTGCTTGCGCATGAGCCAGTAATCTGGGATGAGCATCTCTGGTCTGTATCGACAATATTCGCCAGGAAGAGGGCGCCAGACTCTGCTGTCCACGTTTCTTTGCCTGCAAGGTCGGTATTGCCTGTTACGTCTACCTTGCCATCACGATTGGAATCTGCTAGGATAGTTACTCTAAAGCTGCCAATAGTTGCAGGAACAGGAGTAGACGGCTGGTGTGGAGTAGCCAGGGGTTCGTCTTCGGGATGGTTGACGGCCCCATCGTTTTTCAGGTCATGAGATATAGGATCAGGAGCCTCAGCACGCTTGCCAGGCGGGCCTTGAGGAATTGCGCCAGTGAGGGGCAACGCGGCGACAAGAAAAGCAAGACGAATTTTCACAAAGGAAGGTCAAAAATAAAGATGTGAAATGAGGGCCAGAAAGGGGGCATTTATGAACGGTTGATTTGAGAGTGCTTATAACTGGGCTGAGGTTCTAGGTAAGTCTGTGCGACTATTTAATGTATTTATACTATTTTCTCCTATATAATGCTCGGATTCTTGAGAAAGAGCACACGCGAGATTCCGCGAGAATTATTTAGCAGGGCTAGGCTAAGGCCTTAATTTATGCACACTGCTACATCCCAAGACCCTGTAAAACGTAGATAACGGTAAATCTCCTAACAGGACACATCCTAGTACTATGTCTTGTATATAGGCCAATTTAGCCATGATTAACTTTTATTCTTTCTTTCTTACTCCGCATCTATTTTCATGCAGTAATATATGACTGACTCGTTTTACTTTGTTGTTCTCTTCGATAAAGCTATCTCGCTTGTCGGTGGGGGAGGGAAGGCGAGAGCGCAAGCCGAGGCCCCGTCGGGCGTAGCTCGTTACATGGCCCGTAATATCATGCAGCCTTAGAAAAGAGTGGAAACCCGAAAACCGATGTAGAAATTGTCTGGTAGCATGAAACTGCTAGAATTAGTAGACAGAGCCACTGCTTGTTATGCTCTGCTGTTGATTTGCTACCCCTCAATGTTTCGTTCATTTATGGTGCGATATAGGTTTGGTGAAAGCTACCAAGTCCATGCAACGCAAATTTTCGTTGGCGTCCCGCGAAATTTTAACGCCGCGGGTCCCCGCGAACCTAGGCGCCTCCCTGGGTTGGGCCCGCCTTCGCAGACGACCTGTCAGAGTACTCATCAACGCCTTCACCTGAAGGAACTGCTAGCAGTTTATTATCTCTACAGCAGTTTGGTGAGATGATATCGCCGATAAGCAGGCAGGGAAATATATTCAGATTAGATATATTATTAGGGGAGGATTAGCTTATATTATAAAAAACTTAATAAAATTTTTAAGGTAAATATTAATAAAAAAATAATAAATTTATAATATATTTTTTTTATTATAAAAAGCTTTTAATCTAATATTAATTATATTACCTTTTAAGTTTTATTAGCTTTTAACCCCTAAAAGTTATAATAAGTAATTTACTTATATTAGGCTTTTTAGTACTTTTACCTATATTATTATTATTTATAAATAGCTATAGTAAATATTAGTAAGCAGTTATAATACTTATAGGAGATATATATATATAAGGGTAGTAACTCACAATTAGTTGTGTTATTATAGCAGGGTTTTAATAGTAGAAAAATATAGAGCAAATAACTTAGATAAAAAGGAATAGGACCGACTTAGAATGTGGGCAAGACCACGTAAATATACTATATATATAAGTATTTTAGGTTTTTAGTATAACTTAGTATAAGTTATAAGTATAAAGTTACTATAATATAT